TTCATTCTCAAGCAATAAGACAAATCTACCTGCATTCCCATCAGTAACTTGTGGTAGAATTCTCATCTTCGATGGTACATGAACTGTAGCGATATCACCGTCATTCTATGCACTGGGCTTGGGCTTGCGCTTTTGGTGAAGAAAAACAGTTGAGAAAAGTCTGCAAAGCCCCTTCGCTTCGTCCCTGGAAGAGCCCTCGCGGCTGGGAGAAGCCTAACGAATGCTGGGCCCGTTGTCAGTACACGTCAAGCGTGGATGAAGTTGTCGAGTGCTCCACTCACCACCCCACTGGGACGAGGTGCATTAGCAAGAATCAACGGCAAACCGGGGAAATGTCTGCAGACCTAACGGCGCGATGGTCTGCTCCAGCAGTTTTTCATTGTGCGTTCTGCCTCTTGAGCAACACATCAACGACCAAGAAGAAGACCGAGCTACCCAACGACCCGAATGGCCGACCTGCAGAGCAAGATGGACGCCCACCAACATGACATCGACCGCGCCAAGGAGCAGATCCACGACACGACCCAGAAGGCCGACTCGTACCTGACGGATGTACGCTCCTAACCTGTTGGCATAGTGATGGAATGGTTGACTTGACTCACATATATGGATTGTCATGATGTGTACGCAGTTGACGAAGCGTGTCGAGGAGTACGAGAAGTCTCACTCGAACTTCGAGCCCGCGGGCCAATACCTCAAGTCGGCGCTGGACGCCTCGCGCTCGGCGACGCAGAAGCTGAAGACTCAGGGCCAGGACCTGTCGGAGCGATCGGTGCCGGTGGCGATCGATGGCATGAACAAGGTTCGCGAGTCGCTCGACGACCTCCAGACTCGAGCTGTGGCCTACGACGAGAAGTACGTGGGCTCGCGGGGCCAGCAGGCCGTGGACACGTTGCACCACTGGGTGAACTCGGGCCGCCAACGCGCCACAGACGCGCTGGAAACGACCAACGACCAGCTCACGAAGTTGTGTGATGCCGTCAGCAACATGGCCGGCCAGGCTGCCCACGGTGCTCAAGTGGCAGTGGGCGAAGCTGCCCGCGCTGCGGAGTTTGGTGACGAGAAGCTGGGCGTGAGCAGCAAGGCCGGCGGCGTCGTGCAGAAGGTCCGCGACTTGGACGCGCGCCTGGGCGTGTCGGCGACGGCTGCGAAGGTGGACTCGAAGGTGACCGGCGGCCTCGGATGCAAGGTGGCCGCCACCACTGTGGACATTGTGACCGAGAGCGTGACCTACATCTCGGAGACGCTGCACAACGCCAAGCTGGCGGCCCAGCAATCGAGCACGGCGCAGAGCATGGAGACGAAGGCCGCGGCAGCTACCGGTGCGGCTGTAGCGAAGAAGAACGAGGTCCAGGAAACTTTCGCTGAAGGGTTTGAGCGTGGCCGGGAGATGGCCGGCATGGCAAAGGAGAAGACCGAAGAAAAGGCTGGCATGGCGAAGGAGAAGGCCGGGGAGGTGAAGGACATGACTGCTGAGAAGGCCGACCAGACCAAGGAGATGGCAAAGGAGAAGTCCGGCATGGCAAAGGAAAAAGCTGGTGAGATGAAGGATACGGCAGCGGAGAAGGCTGGTCAAGCGAAGGAGATGACCAAGGACAAGGCTGGTGTGGCCAAGGAGAAGGCAGGTGAGGCCACCGAGATGACGAAGGCGAAGGCTGGCGAGGCCAAGGACAAGACCGCCGAAACTGCGGGCCAAGCGAAAGATATGGCGAAGGATAAAGCTGGTCAAGCCAAGGAGAAGGCTGGTGAAGCTGCAGGCAAGGCAGGTGAAACGAAGGAGCAGTCGAAAGGGGTTGTCGGCCAAGCTGTGGACAAGGCTGGCGAGGTGAAGGACGAGGCGAAGGAGCAGCTCGGGTCCGCTGCAGACTCTGCGAAAGGGGCGGGCACCCGAGTGGAAGCGAAGATGACCAAGCCCAAGGAGCCGACTACGACCCAGGAGCAGACCAACACGGAAAAGGCTCTGGAGGCCGCGAAGCAGACGTGCGCGAAGGAATCGGAGGCTGCGAAGACTGCTGCAGGCACGGCCCACAAGGAGATAAAGGGCAAGCACGCGGGTTCCAAGTGAAGGGAGGCCGAAGATGACGATCACGCGCGGGTGAGTGGAGTTCCGGCTCAGTCGGTCGGGTCGATCACCTTCATCACGATGCATATCTAAGTTCCATTTAATGAATTGAGCTGAGACGGCAAACTCTCGCTGCTTTGGTTGACATTTGTGTACTTTATTGCGCATATGCACCGTGCCTTTTAGCGCACAACAAACAGCAACGCTACATGTTTAGTTGGAAAGCCTCTAGAAGTCGAAGGGGTTGAACGACTTGTGGGCTGCAGACTGCTGAGGTTGCTGAGGCTGGGCTGGAGAGGCAGGCTGGAGGCTATCGAAAGGGTTTGATGGAGACGAGATAGAAGCCTGGGCATCAGAAGCTCGTTAGTGAGTGCCCCACCATGCAGGTGACAGCTCAAACGCTACAAACCTTTGTTGAGAAGTCCAGCATGTCGAAGGGGTCGTTCGAGCTACTCGCACCTAGAGTGCTACTGGTCGTGCTCGGAACAGCCGGCTGAGATGACACGGACGTAGTGGACATTGTGAAAGCGTTCTCACCTGCAAGCAACAAGAGTTAGAACCTCTGATGGCCGCATTTATTGACAAGCGAAACGTACCACCCCAAGGATCGTGAGCTGGCACAGCAGCAGGTTGAGACACGGGGACCTGGTTTTGGTTGCTGAGGAAATCATCTCCTAACCAAAGATCGGGCTGTGTGGCTGGTTGGGCAGAGCCCAATACAGGTACAGGTGCTGGTGCTGCCACAGTGGTATCTGGACACCATGAATGTTAGTACATCGGTGCGCATCAATTCAAAGCACAGTTCCTTACCGCCCCACAGGTCGATTAAGTCTTTGGCTGGCGCTGCAGGTGCTGCCGACACAGCCGGCTTTACCTCCTTTTCCACGTCCTGGTTGCTGCTACTTAGAATTTTGGTTGCTCGCTGCTGAACAAAGCTCGCGAACGGATCGTCATCGTCCTGCTGTGGAGCCTTCGGCGTATCGTTGACATCACTGTGTTGAGAATGCTTGTCAGCAGCAGGCTTCATGCTTTCCTTCGTTGGCCCAGTTCGCGCGCGAACAAAATCTGCAAACGGATCATCGTCGCCCGAGTCTTGGTTGTTCTGAGGCGAAAGGTCCTTGTCAAGTCCAAACGGATCGATAAGATCGATATCGTCGGCAACATCCTTCTTGGAAGCTCTGTTGGCCACCTCTGCCGCTTTTTGGTTTCCAGCCAGCAACTCATCATACTTTTTCAGCGCTGCATGCAGGTCGTCGTTGATCGACAGGTACTTCTCAAGATCCTGTCGTAACAAGAAATAAGCGTTGCGTGAGTCAAAAAGTTATAATACCGCATAAACCACACCGAACTTACCTCGTCGCCCTCAGCAACAGCAATCGGGATGGCTCCTTCCATCCTGTGCAGAATTTCTCTCACTTCCACCGCCAGCTCCTCCATGACACCATGGTTGCCAATAGACGATGAGTCCTTCTGTGCTTCAAACAACATATCCTCGAACATCTCCGACACGTTTGTCGCAACCCGGTAGAGCTCGGGGGTCGACAGCCCGCCCAGCCCACTGCTGGTGTTCGAGTATGACGACGTGTCGATGGATCTCGAGCCACGCGCCTGGTTAGACGACGCAGTTTGTGCACCACTTCGCCCTCCAGATGGCGCATCGGTCGGTGGAGTGAGCACCGGAACCTTGGTCTCGTCGTACTGATCCGGGAACTTGATGCCCTTCTTGCGCATGTTGTGATACGTGTCCACAAACAGCGGGAACTCGTGCTATGAGGTCGCCACAAGTCATGTAAGCCTATCAATCGACAATCAACCACAACGCGATAATGCACTCACTCTGTAGGGCAGGAATGCCTCTCCCCAGGCCTGCACCATGTCCAGCACGCGACTGGCGATCTCCATACTGTCCCTGCCGCGCTTGCTCGCGTGCGTCTGCAGCAGCAAGCACAAGAGCGGCAAAACGTATCAGCACCCGCACTCCACGCCTCTCTACGCAGTGAACAATCGAACCCACTCACCCTGTAAAGCGCCTCCATCTCGCTCATGAAGGGCTCCGTGGCGATCTCCTGGTGCACGAGGTCTCCGCAGTTCTTGACGATCGACTCGGTGAGCGTCAGCGCCAGGATGACGACGCGGGACGACGGGTCTCCCAGCCGCAACTTCAGGTACCGGATCGACTCCTTCAGCCTGCAGCAGCAGCACAACAAGAGCAGTAAGTGCACGCACTCAGGTACAACAAGACGCTACAGGTGCTGCCCCGTACACGGCGTGGTTGCTGACGTTGCTGAGCGCGTCCACGACGCGGAGGATGCGGTCCCAGTCCTCGTCCGCCTCAAAGTCGCTCGTGGCCTGCTCGATCATGTCCGTCATCTGCTTGATGCGCTCCACCTCCGTCGGCGTGTAGAGCGCCGCCACCGCCTTCTGCTGCACGAGGTGGTTGAGCGTGGACGCGAGCTGCCGTTTGGACGGCATCTTCTTGCGCCAGGCCTGCATCTTGGCGTCCATTGTGCGCTCTGCTCCTGCTACAGCTGCTGCTTCGTTCTCTTCCTCTTCGCCTTGTGGGTACACAGCGACGACGTCGAGAGGCTTCTTCGTACGTGGCGCGCTGCGTGCGGAATGACAGTGAAGTGCCGAGCTTCGAGGTGTCGGAAGAGGAAGACGCGCTGGGATTGGCGGAAAAAGAGTCGTCTACCCACATGTCTTGAAGTTTGTATGCAGCAGACTTTCTGCGACTGCCAAACGTTAGAATGTCTAAATGCGCCGTGCTACATGGTTTCCTCACAGCGGTCGTGTGGTCTGCTGTCCAGGTAGGAAGGCTGTGCATGGCATCGATGCATACATGCCCGCGTCGCCTCGATGCCGGCGTGGGAAGAGCAGGAAGAGCGGTGGCATTCTCGAAATCCGCATTATTAGCCAATCGCTCGTCGTTTTGAACGTCATTGGTCAAAAGGTTTATGCACTTCAAAGATCTATGCAAGCGCCGCCGCATTGGCCAACTTGCCGGAGAAGGCGGAGAACAAGCGTCTGCGTGGGGCTGGACGATGGATACGCAGCAGCAGCAGCAGAGAGCGGACGCGGAGCAGCTCCAGGAGCTCTTCCGCACGGCGTACGCGCGCTTCCTGTCGCAGGGGCTGGAGCCCAACGACGCCGTGGCGCGCGCGCTGCTGGAGATGCAGCAGGGCGTCAACGCAGCTGCGGCGCCCACGCCCAAGGCGGAGGCGACCGCAGCCAATGAGGTCGCGTCCGCACACACCCAAGAGGACGTCAAGATGGAGGACGCGTCGCGTCAACAGCAGCAGCAGCAGCAGGAGGAGGAGGACGTCGAGATGGAGACGCTCAAGGAGGTGCCGCCCGCCTCGACCTCGTCGGTGACGAGCAATTTGGCGGCCACCAGCATCACAGAGGCGCTTACAGCTGCAGCTGCGAATGAGCAGGCAACAGGGTCATCTTCATCCTCCTCTTCTGGCACTGTGAAGGCTCGCACTACTGCTCCGACCACTAACGGCAATGCATCGAGCACTCCTGCGTCTGCCTCTGCTCCTGCTGTCCCAATGGGGACGCAGCTGGAGAACGCGCTGAAGCTCGCGACGGAGACGAGCGACTACCGCGTAGTGAAGAGGCTCGTGTACCAGGTGTTTTCCGACCCGGATGCACTTAGTGCCGCGTTTGTCAAAGGAGGCGCCAGGACGGACGAGGACGAAGCGAAGACGCAGTGGTGGGGCATCGAGCGCGATCAGATGGGGCGGGTGTTTGCGCTGCTGGACGCTGCGATGAGTGGGAGTGACCAGGAGGCGATGCAAAACACATTCCGGAACGCCCTGGAGATGCTGGTGACGCAGCCCTGGAACGTCTGCTCGACGTGGCACGCGCCCCGCGCGCTGCGGTTCTTCTTGGTGCTGTTCGAGCACCCGTCGATGTTTGACCCAGACTATTTGAACGTGGTGGGCGGGCTCTGCAGACTGTTATACTACCTCCCGGAAGATGCCAAGGCTCTGGTGCGGGCCCAATGGATGGAGTTCTTCTCGGCTGATGAGCTGCACCGGCTTATGGACATCCTGCAGCAAGCCATCACAGTCTGTCTCTACGGCTCGCGTAAGATGGATCTGGTGTATGCTGCCTGTGGTGTGCTGGCAGAGCTCCATGTTGTGAACCGAGAACGTGCAAACGGCCACGAGCCGTTCGCCACGTACGACGAGTTCTACAACGACGCTGTGAACTCAGAGGTGGACATCGTGCAGGACTACTCGCACTCCATCATCTTCTGGAAAAAACGTCACGCTGCCACACGAGCCGTTCGACGGCTGGAACGAGAGGAGCTGCGACGTCGCCGGCAACAAGATGGAGACGAAGACGACACTGAACGTGAGCGTGAGGAGCAGCGCAGAGAGCAGGAGGAGGCTGAACGCGACGCTGAGCCCATGCCGGAGCGCATGCTCTCGGAAATGTCCTTTTGCGACTTTCCGTTTGTGCTAGATGCGGCCTCCAAGAGCAAGGTACTACAGATTGACTCGGACCTTGAACAGCGTGCACGAGCCCAGGACGCAGTTTTGTCATCTCGCTCCATGTTGGCGATGGAAAGTGCACCATCGCCATATTTGGTGCTGAAGGTTCGACGCGATAACATTGTGGAGGACGCGATGCAGCAGTTGGTGCACTTGTCGTCGTCGGCGGAGACGCTGAAAAAGCCGCTCAAGGTCAAGTTTGTCGGTGAGGAAGGCATCGATGAGGGCGGCGTGCAGAAGGAGTTCTTCCAGATCGTCATTCGGCAACTATTGAACCCGGCTTATGGCATGTTCACGTACGACGAGGAGACGCGCACGTTGTGGTTCAATAGCGATTCATTGGAGGCTACGATGGAGTTCGAGCTGATTGGCACACTGCTGGCTCTAGCCATCTACAACGCTGTCATTCTGGATGTAAGCTTTCCCCACATCGTGTACAAGAAGCTGATGGGGTGCTCACTGGGACTGGAGGATCTTGAGCTCGCTCTGCCGGATCTTGGTCGCGGTCTGCGGCAGTTGTTGAACTTCCAGGGCGATGTCGAAGGCGTCTATCAGCGCAACTTCGAGTACTCGTACGAAGTGTTCGGCGAGGTGAAGACGGTGGAGCTGAAGCCCGGAGGCAGCTTGATTCCAGTGACGAATGCGAACCGGGAGGAATATGTATCGCTCTACGTGGATTACGTGCTGAGCAAGTCGGTGTCTCGGCAATACGCCGCTTTCCACCGCGGCTTCCACCAGGTCTGCAATCGCGAGGTGTTGAGTATGTTCCGGTGGGAGGAGCTGCAGCTGCTGATCTGCGGCAGCAGCGACCTGGACTTCGAGGCGCTCGAGGAGGCCACACACTACGAGGACGGGTTCACAAAAGACAGCACCATCATCCGGTTCGTATCTGCTCAAAAGGTCGATTATCATCTCGTAGACGACGACTAACCGCTGCTGTTGTGTCTGGCAGGGACTTCTGGATCATTGTGCACGCGCTCCCGCTGGAGGACAAGAAGAAGCTGCTGCGGTTTGCAACAGGCAGCGACCGCGTGCCCATCCGCGGGCTCTCGAACCTCGTGTTTGTCATCTCTCGCAACGGGCCGGACTCGGACCGCCTCCCCACAGCGCACACCTGGTGAGATTCATATTGAAGCTGGCGTTGACAATGAATGAACAAAGCGAGCTAACCCGATGTGCTTGTGTGTATCTGGCGGACAGCTTCAACCACCTGCTGCTGCCCGAGTACAGCAGCCGCGACAAGCTCCAGGAGCGTCTCCTGTTGGCCATCAGCCAGGCCGAAGGCTTTGGCCTGCGCTAAGGCAGAGTGCTATTACTCGCTAAGTTGAACCCGTAGGCAGTACAATAGTCGATGTATCGGCCTCCTTCATCTCCAGGTCGCCTTTATCTCTTGTGTTTGATTGGCCATCGCATGTCGACTTAATTAATGGAGCCGCCCGACCCTGCTGCTGCTACTGACGCCGCGCCGGCCGTGTCACCGTGCACGGCGTACGTCGCCATGCTGCCGTACGCCTACACCACCAACGACGTGGCGCAGCTCTTCGCGCCGTTCGGGAAGCTGGCGCGCGTGCTAGTGCTGCGGGACAAGCAGACGCGGCGCAGTCGCGGCGTGGCCTTCGTGCAGTTCGCCCGCGCCGAGGACTGTGCCAAGGCGGTGGCCGAGATGGACAAGATGCCGCTCGAGGGGATGACGCTGGCCGTGTCGCTGAGCCGAGACAACGGCCGCTCCCGCGAGTTCGCCAAGAAGCGCAAGTACACGACGTCGCAGCGCTGCTTTGAGTGCGGCGAGCTGGGGCACGTGTCGTACGAGTGTCCGCGCAACGTGCTGGGCACCCGGGAGCGGCCCGTGACAACTGGGGGCAAGAGCAGCCGCAGGAACCTCAAGCGGAAGAAGAAGAAGTTCGACCCGCACGAGCGCGCGCACTATTTCAACGACGAGGGCGTCGTCAACATCCTGTACGTGTGTCAAGTGTGTGTATCTGTCGGAGAGCATGCAAAAGAGGGGTCTATCTAACGGGTTATTTGACGGGTGTTTCTGCTACAGAGCGCCGCCTACGAGCTCCGACGACGAGGGCCTGTCCATCTCGCTGCTGACCTACCCGTCTTCAGCGCCTCTGGCCTCGTCGACGCAGCATGCGGCACCCCCGCTGGCGACCACGCCACCGTCCTCTGCAGCGTCTGCAGCAATCTCCGCACGCCGTCGACCGCAGCGCAAAGCAGGCAGCTACTTCAGTGACGAAGACGCCAGCGACGACGAGTGACCAATGCACAGTAGAACACGCACGCTCAAGCCTCGACTTGACCTTGCGTGGATGTGGGCAATAACTTATCAACCTGAAGGCCATTCGATGCTTATTTCCGCTGACGCTTGTTGCCATTGGGGCGCTTGCCGCCGCCGTTCCTGTTGTTGCCGCCGTTGCGTCGGCCCAGACCCATGTACTTGAGCATCCGCGACGTCATCTCCTCGGCCGAGACCTCCTCGCGCAGCTCCTTCTCCTCGGACGCCGCGAAGCGCAGCGCCCTCGACGCCTCCTTGAACTCGTCCTCCACGCCCTTGTTGAAGCCGCCGAAGGAGCGACGGCCAAACACCAGTGGCAGCGACGGGTCGGGCACGTCGCGGATGCAGATGATCGTGGAGTCGTCGTCGTCCTGTGCGTCGTCCTCGGGCGCCGCCTCCCACGTGTCCTGCTTGTGCTGCTCCTGCACGGCGGCAATGCGCTGCGCGTCCGTCGTCTTCTTGCGCTGCATGAACTGTGGGGAGACAGAGGGGTCAGCGCCAAGGGCAGTAGGTAGTACAGACCAACAGCCAGAGGAGACAACGCACCTTCATGGCCAGCGTCTTCTGGGACAGCACGAACTTGGTCGGCTCCTTCTTCACGCCGCGCGGCGGCAGCCCGTCGCTCTTCATCGGCGCGGCATCTTCCTTCTTATTCTTGCTGCTGCTGCTGCTGGGCTTGGCCTTGGGTTTCTTGTCCTGCGGTCGGTCGCTGCCGGGCTTCCACATCGGTGCGCTTGGTCTAAATGGGATGGCTGCGGCGGCTTTCGAGAGTGCTCCATGGTAGTCAAAAAAATGAAATGAACTTGCAGTCATTAGGAAACCCTCTTAACATGATATGGATACATAAAATTCAGTGGACCACGCCACTGCCACTTGCACAAGTCTGCGCTATAGTTGGCGGGTAAAGTCGTCGCACCAGCGCTCAGACAGTTTCGTTGCCCGACGGATAAGCTTATCGCCGCTAGGTAACAGCGTAACTCGCGGCGAGTTCCTTGACAGAAGAGCTGTCATCGTGGTCAGGGATCCATGACTGCGGGGCCAGTTTACGCCTCACCTCCTGCCATTGACGCTGGCTGCTCGTGGCGGCGACATCGAGAGCGGCACCTCGACGCATTCTGCGGCGATGTGATGGATGGCCCTACCGCCCGGCCCGCGACAACGCGGCAGCATGCCATCTTGCCGGCACTGCGCAAGCACCAAACAAATCGGGCGCGGCTGGGAAAAAGAACCAGTTGCGGGTCAGGCTCATTTCGTCCTCGTCTCTTGTATCTTGCGCTCGGACGTCCCATTGGCCAAAACTCATTTACGGGCGCGGCTCCCTCGTGGACGCGGGCGTCGGACTATCAGACACGAAGAAGGCAGGAAGATCACAGCGGCCCCCCTTGCCTCCGCTCTACCCCGCCTACCACCTCGTTGCCGGCCCGCCCCCCTCTCGCGTAGAACCCCCCACCGTTGTCACCGCACTCGCCCGCGAGAGCCGCGCCTTATGACTGTGGAAGTGGAGGCCTCGGACGCCGCCATGGCGTCGCCCACCAGCTCGAGCGGCACGGGCCCCGAGTCCCTGCGCCTGTCGGAGATCGAGAGCGCGCACCTGTGCCCCGCCGGGCGCATGAAGATGGAGGAGCTCTTCCGCCAGTGGCTCAACGTGGACGGCACCAAGGAGATGATCCAGAGCATGGTGGCCGACCTGCGCCAGGGCAAGGAGCTCAACCTGGACGCGCTGCTGGCCACGGTGGGCGCCCCCGGCAGCGGCGCCGACTCGCCCTCGCGCAGCCCCAAGCGCCCGCCCAACTACCAGCAGTTCGGGCTGCTCAGCCCCGGCTCCGCGGGCAGCCCCAGCGCGCGCAGACGCCACCAGCACCTGGTCAGTCTCTTCGGAGAAGAGCTGCACAACGCGGCGGCGGCCGTGGCTGCGGCGGCTGCTTCTGCAGCAGAGACGGAAGCGGCCAAGACGGAGAAGGCGGCGGAGGCCGTGCCGTCCCCGCCCTCGGACGACGTGGACATGTCGGCAGGAGAGAGCGAGGCCGCGAGCGACAACAACGAGGAAGAGACACCGGCAGAGAACCAGGAGGAACCCGCAGCGCCTGCTGAGGAGGCGGCACCCGCGCCCCCCGCCGACGCGGACGAGAACATGGAGGAAGAGCAGGAGCAGCAGGCAGCAGTGGACGAAGCGCCCAAGGCTGAGGAGCCCGCGGCGGCGGCCGAGCCCGACCACCCCATGACGGAGGACGCCCCGAAGCAGATTCAGATCCCCAGGTTTTACACGCCTGGCGAGGGCCGACGCGGCCGGCTGCGTGGGTTGTCCACAGACGCCATGGCGCGCAAAGTGTCGGACATCGAGGCGCGCTTCCGCGAGTTCCCGGAGGGCATGAAGGTGGAGGATTTCGTGGCCATCACCAAGGACCTGTGCGGCTTCCCTTCGTTTTTCAACGCGCCGTTCTTCCGGCGCATCCTCGCGTCGGCGGGAGAGACGCCTAAGCCGCCTTCCAGCCCCGCAGCCGAGGACGCAGCAAGCCCCACGAGCGCCGATGGAGTGGCGGCGCCGCAGCGCATTACGAAGGACATGTTCCAGAGCTACTGGATGCGCGAGATGGCTCCCTGTGACAGCGTGGAGCGCTTCTTTAGAGTAGTACGTGGTCTCGCGCGATTTGCAGTATGTTGTGGGGAGTGTGACGAACTGGCGGTGTGTTGTTAAACAGGTGAAACAGCCGAAGAACGACTTCATAGAGCGAGACGACTTCGCGCCGTTCTTGCATGGTACGCTCAAAGCGCTGCGAGGGATTGTGTCTGCTTCGTTCCGGTTACTTACTGCTCTGTTGTGTGTCGTGTTATCAACAGAACTGTTGAAGTATCATCCTGGACTAGAGTTTCTTGGGGGCACGCCCGAGTTTCAGGAGAAATATGGTAAGCGAACGGCGCTTAATGCAGGACAAATGATAAATTGCGGAACTAACAATCTCGTTTGCCTGCCTGCCTTCAGCGTTGACCGTGGTGGTACGGATATTTTACTCCGTAGATAGAGACAGTAGCGGTCGAATCACGCTGCGAAAGTTACGGCGCAGCAATCTCATCAGCGCCTTCAACACCGTGGACGAGGAGGAAGATATTAACAAGGTTCGTGTGTGCAGTAGGATATCGGTTGCTGCTAACAGCTCACTTACGTCTGTGTTGTATTGATGCGTACCAGGTGAACTCGTACTTCTCGTATGAGCACTTCTACGTGCTGTACTGCAAATTCTGGGAGCTGGACACGGACCACGACTTCCTTCTGAGCCCCGACGACCTCGTACGCTATGGCGGCCACGCCCTTACACGTATCATTGTGGACCGTATTTTCGAGCGCGGGCGCCGCCCGTTCGCTCGTGTCCAGACGCTGACTGCCGAGGAAAAGAAGAAAATGAGCTACGAGGACTTCATTTGTGAGTGGGCCTGTTATCTTCCAGTTTCTATGGTTTCGGTCGGGTCTGACGGTTCTGGTTTCCATGCAATTTCAGACTTTATGCTCTCGGAGGAAGACAAGGCTAATCCCGTCAGTATTAGGTATTGGTTCGAGCTTATCGACACGAACGAGGACGGCGTCTTGCGCGCCGACGAAATGCGTGTATTCTACCGTCACCAGATCCATCGCATGGAGTGCCTCGGTCACGAGGTGGTACCGTTCGAGGATATCCTTTGCCAGATGTCGGACTTGCTGCACCCGGAGAAGGAGGGCGAGTTCTACCACAAGGACTTTATCCGCCCGGACAAGATCCGCGTGTCCGGCGTGTTCTTCAACGTGCTGTTCAACCTCAGCAAGTTCATCGAGTTCGAGCAGCGCGACCCATTCCTTCTGCGTCAGCAACTGGCCGAGCCGGAGCTTACGTACGTACCCGCAAGGAAGGACATTGACACAATGGCTGACTATTTGCTAACCGAAACTACTGTTGCTGCTGCTGAATACAGGGATTGGGACCGCTACGCTCGCGCCGAGTACGCTCGACTTGCCATGGAGGAAGAAAGCCGCGACGAGGATACGGCGATGGACATCGACACCATGGACGGCTGGTATGTGTCGGACGAGCAGGAAGAAGACGCGCCCGAGGGCAGCAGCTCCGGCGCCGACGGCGCAGCGGGTGGAAGCGAAGGCCGAACCGTCGAAGCCCCCTTTTAACCTTTGCCCCCCCCCCCCTTTCAACGAGGTAGAGCCCCCTTTCATTTCCCCCCTTAGAAGACGGCGGACGGCGCTCTGGGCCGTGCCGCAGGATGAAGACCCGACGCAGATGAAAGTAAGTAGAGCAGCATGCGTGAGTGAATCAAATGCATGTGAGTCAATCAACAGTCGAAGGACAGTTGAGTGGTGCAGGCTTTATTGCTTCTTGTTGCTGGCCGCGGCCTCCTGCGCCTTGCGCAGCTGGTTGACGCGGTCGTTGCACAGCTTGAGCTGCTTGACCTGCTGCTGGCACTTGGTCCAGTCGCGGTCGAAGTCGGCCAGGCAGTCCTCGAGCTTGTAGTAGTCCTCGTGGCAGCGGTTGCGCTCGATGAGCTCGTCCACGTCCAGGTCCTCGCCGAAGTCGCTCTTGCTGCCGGCGTGCAGCCCCGCCACGGGCACGGGCGCCTTGGGGAACGCGGCGCTCATGAGGCTCTGGGGCGGTCGGTCCAAGATGCGAAGTGGCGGAATTGACACGCACGGGGCTGGCGGTGGTGTGGGCCACATGATATTGCTGCAGCTTGCAATATTGTTGATTGGGTGAACGGATGAAAACTTCTTCTTCTTCTCCATGTTCTCATGATGCAGAGCATGTTCGCAGTTCGAAGAACTGTTGGGGAAGGTTTTTGGATGACATCGAACGACATTCACGCTACATACGTCACGTCACCCCGTGCGGATGACATCAAACAACATTCACACAACATCACACAGCACTCAATAGAATCCGGTCTGAATTGCACAGTGCAATTCAGACCGGATTCTATTAGCTGTAAGTGCAAGTTGCACTTACAGCTTTTGATAGATGCCTATTCGCCTCGGAGCTTTTCCTTCTAGATTGATGCCAGAGGAGTGGAGCTCCAGCACAAACATTTTATTGTTCGAAAGAATGCAATTCTTGCTATTGCACAGATAACGTTATGTACATGTACGTTGTTCGTCGTAGTAATGGCGTCTGTGACAATTAGAAGCCTCGATGCTGACCTTGAGCACAACTGGTGTCATTACCACATCACTGCATCGTATTAAACTGCATGCGGCTCCACAGCACTCGACATAGTACTCACTCATTTCATTAATGTTAAAGCTATCGATTCAATCTGTTCAGTCCTGGGTCATAACTTTTACCCTCCTCTTTCAGACACAGATTTTCTTCTGCATGCATAGAGATTTATTGAAAATCTTTTGGTCACCTGAGTTTGCCATGACTTAAATTGTCGGCAGGCTGATATTGTGTGAATTCCCACACTCATTGGAATGTGTCTGGATGGATTGGATAAAACATTCCACTACAACTTCGCATAAACTACTTAACGTTTTTAAGGTTATGCGATCCAAGATGGGAAGTATAGCTTGATTTTTTTTTCATTCAACATATTTTTATCCAAAGCCAAATCTATCCGCCGGCAATGCGGTGACGTCCTATACGGTGGCGAACGAATTCATTCAGCGGAAACTCAAAAGAGCTGCACCTGGTGTTATGTGTTCTCCGGAGCAAAAGGCTAAAAGCTACAGCAAAAAGAATGACGACCGTGTATGAAATCGGGAGAAGTATAGTTCAAATCAATCGAGATATGAATGGCTCGTGTGGGGCCATTAAATATCTACACTCGCTGAGGCATTGTATCTACGAAGACTTTGGATGATTAAGCTTGCCTTAACTACATTGCAAGCAGAGATCCACCGAGCCCATTTACTACTGTAGAATAATCTTCTACTTTATCCTGTTCTTGTTAAAACAACTTCAAAGTACATTGTTACCGATATTAGTTCAGATCATCCTAATGTTACATGAATGCGGCACGTTCAGTTTAATACTTGATAAATGACAATAACACACTTGGACGAATCGAAGTTGGAAGTTTTTGTTGTTGTTAAATATTCAGGCGATCCGGACAAAGTCTGTGTGCGGCTGCGCCATGTTTTATCAAACAGAGTTTGAATACTCCTACTTTTCTGTACGCCCCGGATTCCTGTAAGAGAGGAAGCCCGGGCGGACATCGTCAACGCGAAGGACAAACACCCGGTGTATCCAACTCCTACACGCGATCGAGATCTGCTAGACCTCAGTCTTAACTTATCAAACTTGAAGCAAATTGCTGGCTTCATCGGGTTACCCTGCAAATTCGGTTGGGCAGTTAGCCTGGAAGCGCTAAATATTTGAATGCACGTATTTTTTCTGGTTTTTTTTTTTTTTTTTCGCCGCCCGTAAGTTTCTGAGCACACCATGCAATCTAAGAAATATAGGATTCTGCCTGGGCATCAGCGCACGTTTTAAAGGCAGGAAGGAATAAAATTACGTTGATTAGCTAGTTGTTGATAACCGTTCTACTAACTACAAAATGACTAAAGCTAAAACTAAATCCGTGGAGTCCTAATCCAACGAGCAGGAGAAGGTAGAATCACCACGTTGGGTTTGCCAAACCCAAGAGTTGAAGTACCAATTCGTTGGAGAGAACTGGCAATGCCTTTGAAAAGAAGCAATCAAACTTGGTACACTTGGTTGTACAGTAGTAGATGCAGATGGTGCGGCTGCGAAGCAGGCGCAGGAGATGCCCGAGTACATCGTTTCCCTGTAAGGGCATCCGTACAAGCTAGCTTCGAACTGCGAGACCCCCCGGGTCCACCACCCGGGTCCCCATATTTGCTTGTGACTCTCGCGTGTGACTCTCGATGCGTCGCCCGGGATTGGCTATCCATCGTCAGCATCGCAGCAGGCTGAGGTAAGGCCCTCTATTAACTTTTTACTGGCCCAATCGAATAGTGATCATCTAACCCCTTGCTGGTCTTCATTTCGTACTCCAACGTGGCGGTAAAGTGCTGGGGAATACTTTAAAGTATCGACTCTTTGGAGTGCTGAGCCGTAATGTCTTGCCAATGGCGCGATCTTATCAAGGCTTTACAGTTTTTCGTGGCCCTTTCGTAAGCTGCGCGTTGATGAATACTATTTATTTGTTTATTTATTTGTTGCGGTTTAGTCGGTTAACTACACCCGATACTGCGCTCTGCTGCAGCCTCGCCTACGGATCGCATGTTGGAACAACACGAGCCCACGGTAGTCGCCCATACATGACAGCACAGATCACACAGTCGCAGAGACTGCGTCGCCAGTGCTGCCCAGGTCATATGCATATATGTAGTAAAGTAAAGATCTTGACACCAAACAAGCTAGGTCGTGCCGTCGGTACCAAGTTGGTGATTTCGTTGCTCGTGCCAGCGTTCGCCACGCTCACAAATCTGGTCTCTTCGTTCTTGAAGGCGGCGGGACAGTTGGCTTTGAGTTCGTTGAGCCCATTACTGACGTCTCGTCTTGATTCCCAGGTTCACATCCCTCAAAAGCGTTTGGCAATATCGTTGAGATCGTTCATTAACATCAATGGTGCAGCTGTACTCCCAGTACTCTCGGAGGGTAACCCAGGTACCCAAGAAAATCGACTCATGCAACACCTTTGCCTGCCCCATAGTGTAGGACACTGCCTCTGACCATACTTTGCTTCCTTTCGTCATAGTGGGTACCGTTGCCATCCTTTAGGGGCTTCGTAGACGGCTAGCTGAAGGCGATCCAACTGCTGTCGAACCGTAGTCCACCACGTGGGTTGTTGAGCGTTCTCGTTATCATGACCAAACCAGTCAAAGCAGGGATGTCGTCGTTGACTGTCGTCTCGCTCCTCCACTGATGGCAGGTCAATAATCCATTCATCACTGCCGAGGGCCTGCTCCCAATACGACTTCGTACTACTTGAAATAGAGTCAGTGTGAGAACACCGATTAGAATAGTGCGTTCATTTGTTTGGAAGACGTCTGCCATGGTGCAGCTACGACGCTGCACAACGAATGCCTCAGTACGCATTGCTAGCTGGCTTGCCGTGATGAATACTACGGCTTCAAGCGCTACGGACGATGACTTTGCTCCGAGTGGGTGTCCTTCCTACAGCTACGTCAGGCGCCAGTGCTGCGGCGACGGTAGCTGCCGGTTGAAGTGAAGCCTGTCGTGAAGAAATCGGTGAAGAATCCTTCTTAAAAGGCGGCCAACAAAGAGCCGAAGAGCAATGGAAGAAGCCGCAGCTTGGTGTTGCAAGTCAAAAGCTTAGCGCCGCGGAAATCGATCTACCAAGCGTAGTAACAGTAAAAAGGCACCGGAGTGCGATAACGTGTAATATCATGCAAGCGTAGCCTTGGTCACGGCTTAGTCGTTGACTTTTGGCGGTTTTCGCCGCTCGCAGTCATCACAAACGCCCCGGGAAAGATGCCAAACGCGCGCAAGCTATTGATTGCGACTCGTTCACTCGATAACTCAAGGTCGGAAGATCCAAAGTACTACTAATGGCTTCACCTCTTTCATCTACAGCTTTGCGGTGCGTCGACTACCCAGATTTCGATTCGGTGCGTCCGGAAGCATGAGTTCTCCTGCATGGTGCCAGGCTGGCAGCCTCCGGTCCGCAGCTGTACCCCAGAGGCGCTGGATGCCGCACACTTCCGCGTCGAAATCTCTAAAGAGCCGCCGCCGCCGATGTCGAGTGTCCAAGGGTAGGAATTCACGTTCGCACAACGGTTGCTTCGCTTTGCCACCACCGCTCTACGACGCGGCGCTGGATCAACGACCAGCGCTACGAATGGATCCCCACACAAGCAGCACTCGCATCACAGATGGCGTGGGGCCTTGCAAAGCGGAGGAGCGATTGCGAGGCACGCAAAGCGAGCGCGGACATAATCACCGAGCGTAGCAGGTGGAGCAAAACGACAAGCAAGCAGGGCTGGCAGGCCAGGCAGGCAGGGCCTCCTTGCAGCAAGGGCTTGCTGGCAGCCGACGCTGCGCCGTTGGCCTTCAACCACGCCGGTCGGAGGGCGAGAGAGCTGGCGCCACTGATCGGCGGCTTGTTGAGGGTGGTCGATCAAATCTCCGCAGCTCGAAGTTCCCTCTACAGTCGACCCACCAGCGCAGACGCAAAGGCGCCGAGAAGAAGCACAGTGCTGCCGTGCTGCCGTGTACATGTAGGGGATTGGATGCCTCCGCCACGTGGCCGTCGCCGTCTTGGAGACCGTCGAGTCTGTGCATGAGTCAGCCAGAGAGGAATACGAGCGCAGTGGCTCGCAGCTGGCGCGCTGCGGATGGCCGGATGCGAGGCTCGCGGCAAGCAAGCCGCAGCCAGCCTGAGCGGCTGAGAGTATTCTTCAATGGCCGCAAAACAGAGACCCGGAGTCGTGCGCTCGCTCGCTTGTCGTACATCTCAAAGGCGGAGGCGCTCAAATCCGCGCGGCACGGTCGACCCAGTCAAAGCGCGCGCAGGGAGCCGGTCTCACTTGCAAAGACGCCGTCTCGCTGAGATCTCGGGTGGGCAGCGACTCGTCCGGGCCCGGTCTCTAGTGCGGCCGGCGCTCTCCATCTGCTGCTGTTTGCGCTGGGTGCGCCAGGCTCCGCGTCACTTGCCCGTCTGTCGCGGCCTGCAGCTCAACACTCGAGCAGAGAGGAGGCGCGCTCACTGAGTTGCTTCCTTCCTTGGCCCCCAACAGCCCCGCTCGACCGTTTACTATTGAAAACGACCGCTGTTCGTCAAGCGTCGAGACTCGGGCAATCACTTGCTGTGTCCTTTGGCTTCAACACCGTCGGAACCCCGCGGGTCCATCTCTTCCCTTCAGTCACGTCGGCCATGATCGCCAAGCCCCGCGTGTACGTGGGGGACGAGGAGCGGCGACGCAAGCAGCGCGACCTCAAGCGCAGGTACCGCGAGCGCCGCAAAGTAAGTGCCGGCACTTCATGTACTCCAGGCCCGACTCGCGTTCTGACTGACTGACTCACTTGTGCTGCTGCCCGACAGAATGACGTGCAGGCCATGCAGCAGCAGGTCGCGCAGCTCGAGGCGCGCTACGACGCGCTGCTGAGCGCCCAGCAGCAGACGGCCGTGACCTCGCGCCGCGCGCCCTCCCCGCTCGAGCAGCAGTACGCGGCGGCTACCAACGAGCTCAACTCGCTGCGGCGCCAGATCGCGACCACCAAACAGAAGCTGGCCGAGTTCGACGGCTTCGCGTCGTCCCTCGAGGTCTACCTCACCGACTTCGACGCGCCGTCCGCCATCACGGCGGCGTCGCTGGCGGCGGCGGGCGCGGCCAAGAGCTCGCTGCTCATGGCGCCGTCGCTGCCCGGGCCGGCGCCCGCGGCCGAGCCGCACCCGCGCCTGACCGAGCGCGAGTGCCAGGAGATGATCAAGCAGTGCTACTACGAGATCTTCGACCGGCGGTTCCGCGGCAAGTGCCTGAGCTCGGGCATGCACATGCTCGGCTGGGAGGACCAAATGTTCTTGGACGGCACGACGCTGCAGTTCTCCATGTCCAAGCGCATCACGGGCATGTCGGCCAACACGCTCATGCAGAAGACGTGGGACATCGTCACCACGGAGCAGCACATGCGCACGATCCAGTACTCGACGCTCGGCATCAAGGTCCTGCACAAGATCAACGACGACACGCTCGTGATCCAGCGCTGCGTGCACCACCCGCAGCTCAAGACGGTCAACTGGAACAACATGGTCATGTTCCGCCTGCGCAGCCCTCGCGGCTACGTCGTGGCCTACCAGACGATCAACCATCCAGCGTACGCCGAGGGCTACACCGAGTACTTCACGGGCCACGAAGACATCGTGGCGGAGGACCTGCAGCCCAAGTTCTCGCGCGTCAACACGCTGCAGTGGTTCCTCTTCGAAGAAGACGACAACCTCGACTTCGACATCGACAGCGGCGGCTCGGACCTCGAGCTGCTCGGCTCTAGCGACAGCGAGGACTCGTCGTCGAGTGTCAAGAAGGAGGTGCTGAGGCGGGGGAGAAGGGGGCTTGCACCACCACCGACGCAGCCCCAGCCAAACCCCCCTCAACCACAACGTGCCGGCGGAGTGAAGGTCTCGTTTGCGGGCAAAGTGGACAACCGAGACCCGTCGTACGCGCAGTTTTACATGTTCGAGGTGCTCACGTACATCATCCGCTGGGAGAACGCCGTGGGCTCCGCGCGGCTCACGTTTTGAGGAAGCTCAAGACACTTCACGTAACGTGAAGTGTCTTGAGCGTGAATCACGTTATCAGCCTAGTGAGTACGGCACTGTAGCTCGCCTTGCACGTCGTAAATAAATTAAGTGGCCGGATCAGCGCTCAACACGCTCGTTCGTGCCGATGTATCGACAAACGTTGAGGTTGATGGAGGTTTTTTAACAGTCTCTCACGTTGTTACCGTGTCAACCCGGCATCATCAACTCTTGAAACTTTAAACACGTGTGTGTATGAAAAAGCACGGTCAACAATGATGCATGGATTCTCGTGCCCACATCGAGCTGAAGCTGTAGACGACGAGCGAGTCAGCACTATACACTCAAGCGGATCTTTCGTGAAAATTATGCATACGAACGAGAAGACAAAAGAAACTAAAAAAACTTGCGAAGTCGTGTTAACTTGGTGCAAGAGATCACTGACTTGTAGGAGCAGTTGTCATGAAGAAGTAATGGATGCTGCACCTTCCGAGCAATGCTAACAGTTAGTTAGCCCCGCACCGGAGTAGCCGCAGCACCGACGTACAGGCCCGGGCTTGCGAGACTCTGGCGCTTCTTGTAGACGACGAAGACGGCGACGACGGCGACTGCAGCAGCGCCTCCGGCAGTACCGACGATCGCCTCGGTGGAGAAAGTGGTCGATTTGTCCGAGTCGTTCGCCTGCTCAGCAGCGGACGTCGTGATGCTTTGGGTCACGATGTCCTCCCAGTACGAATCACTCGAGGCTGCAGTCTCGTTGTCGGAAGGGACCGGGAGACTCGGGCACGGAGTCGAGTTGACGGCGGCTGTCTCCTTGGAATAGGCACTGGTGGTGTCATCCGAGCTGCTCGACGCAAGCGAAAGCGTGGGGCATGGGGTCGAGGAGGAGGACGACGACGCCGCCTCAGTGGTGGACGAAGCCGTAGAGGAATGCTCAGTACTCGGGGTACCAGCAGTCGAGTCCGACGTAGCGAGGGCGAGCGTTGGGCATGGAGTGGACGTAGCAGCTGCAGACGTCGCGGCAGTCGAGGCGGACTTCGAGGTCGGGGCAGCTTCAATTGTGTCCGAGCTTTCCTTGGCCAGCGCAAGTGTCGGGCACGGAGTGCTGTCATCATCATCAGCAGCAGCAGGAATTGTGGTGTCCGAGCTTTCCTTCGCCAGGGCGAGCGTCGGGCACGGAGTCTCATCGGTAGTAGCGTCCGAGCTTTCTTCCTTGGCCAGCGCAAGTGTCGGGCAGGGGGTAGCGTCCGAGCTCTCGGTGGCAAGAGCGAGCGTCGGGCACGGAGTCGAAGTCGGGGATTCGTACACGCAGCCCCACGCGCCAGTCTTGATCTTGGCGCACACCGCGTCCGACGGTGCGACGCACGTGCCAGCCCCCGTCCAGCTCGGGAGGTTGTCGTGGCAATCCTTCACGGCCACTGCGCCCTTCACGGGGCAAAGCGTTCCGGCAGGCGCGTCACCCGATCCGCTGCAGATGGGGCCGTCGATGCAGTACGTCGCGTCGGTCTCCACAGAGACTTCGATGCAGGAAGAGGAAGACTCAGCCGTCGATGTCGAAGTGGTGGTGGGGGCGGATGGCGTCGTCGCAGCGGGGGTCACCGACGGGGTCTTGGACCCAGCCATGGCCACGCCTGCCAGTATGGCGAAAGTGATGGTGGCGATCTTCATCGTTGAGGGGAAGAGTACTAGTAAGCTGTCGAACCCTAAGTTCGACTACCAGTGGGCGTGAAAGCGAGTGCGCAGTCCAAGGCGAATTGGAAAGTGACAATGGAGAGTGAGCTGCTCTTGTGTAGGGCCGACTTCACAGGTAACAATTGCATGTGTAGATTACGGAAAGTAGGTTTACGGATTACAGAAAGCAGCACTTCAACCTTCTTGCTTTTCCGAACGCTGAAAACGTCGAAGAGCCCAGCGCCTACAGCTGAGATTCATAGATCGACAAGAGTTTACTTCACGTTCCCTTCACGGTGCACCACCGGGAGGTATGTAGGAAATCAAAATGATTTCCATGGAGGAACTAACAGTCTTTGTTGCCAGCGTATCTGGTATCAGTTTCTGCTGATATAGTAATTCGGTTCTGCACACAGGCACGAGCCAAGTGTTTCCCAAACGCAGATACACGAGCACTTGCTGCGCTGCTATCCCTTTGAATAGCAAACTAAATCATCGATCCACTGGACAGATTTAGTACTGAGCTGCTGAGACTGGTTTTGACCGGACCACCGGATCACTACCCAAGGCGTGAACTACACGAAACAAAACGATGCCGCGGCAACCGTCCGTGCTCACGAACTTTTATCGAGGCACGCGCCACAGGGACTATCTGGCAACATTATCGCCGCCAACAGCCTAATTTGCTGAATACGTTATAGCATCGCTTCCCACTAAGACCGGTACACGCTTTCAGGCCGCCAATGACAACTCCTTCGAGCACCCGAAGACTTAGCATTGGACGCGTGCTACTCGTTGGCACACGCCCCCGCTAGGTCAACTCGCAAATGAGTAGTAGTTTATCTGAAAACTTTGTCTGGAACGCGGTGATTTGGTTCAGGGTTGCGAAGACCAAGTCTTCGCGCTTAGACCAACAGAACAGAGCGATAGCCAGCAGAGCAAGCAAATCATTCGTATTTTGACTGTACGGACTTCACTGCTTCGACGCACCAAAACACAAGGGGCATCGGGGGGGGGGGGGGGGCTCAGAAATGAATTCATCAAGGTTTTTAATCTCAAGGTCGCTACGGGATCACTCGCCTCGTTCGCCCGCTAGCAATGAGCCTGACGTGAAGTCGCATCCGTGAAAGAAGAAAAAGGAAAGGGAAGGAGAAGGAGAAAGGAAGCGCCACGGTGCGCGGCGGATGCGATCAACCGCTGCTTACAACGGAGTCGGCACGGTGCCATGGTACACGTTGTCCAGGAACTCGGTCTTCGCAGCACGCTGGCGTCTCTTGTGGGCGACGAAGGCAGCGATAGCGGCAACTGCCGCAACAGCAGCGACGCCGACAAAGATCCCAGTCGACCCGGAGCTCGAGTCGTCCGCACCCGGCTCATCCTCGCTCTTGGTGACTGCGTACGAGGCCAGCGTCGAGTTTGAGGTCGCGGTCGAGTTGGAGATCGTTGTCGAGTTCGATGACGTCGTTGAATTCGAGGTGGTCGTTGATTTGTTGACCGTCGTCGTCGAGTTCGATGCCGTCCAGTTGGTGGCCGGGTAAACTGTCGGCACTGCCGTAGTGGAGGCAGGTGTGGCCGGAGGTTTCGTAGCGGGGGCCGCCGTGGTTGCCGCCGGCGTCGATGCCGGCTTGGTCGTGGGAGATGCCGTCGTAGCTGACAGTGTGGATGCCGGCTTGGTCGTGGGGGCCGCTGTGGTCGCTGCCGGCGTCGATGCTGGCTTGGTCGTAGGGGGAGCAGTAGTCGTCGCTGGTGTCACGGCCGGCTTGGTCGTGGGAGATGCGGTCGTAGCTGCGGGTGTTGCAGCCGGCTTGGTCGTTGAGGACGCAGTAGTTGTGGCCGGAGGAGACGTCACTGTCGCGGTCGAGTTCGTGGTGCCATTGCTCGACTTGGCCGCGCCGTACACGCAGCCCCACGCGCCAGTTTTGATCTTCGCACAAACCGCATCCGACGGAGCCACACACGTGCCAGCGCTCGTCCAGCTGGGCAGTTTGTTGCTGTTGCAGTCTTTCACGGCAACAGCGCCCTTCAGGGGGCACCAGGAACCGGCAGAAGAACTGCCTGAGCCGCTGCAAATGGGGCCCTGGATGCAATACGTTGCGTCTCCTTCGACCGAAACGTTGATGCAGGTTTTGTTCGACGAAGCGGCAGTCGAGGTGGAGGTCGTCGATGTCGAGTTGGTGGCCATGCTACTCGGCTTGTTGGTAGGGGCTGGAGTCACGGCAGTCGTAGAATTGGTAGTGAGGTTACCCGACTTCACCGCCGTGGTGGGAGCCGGAGTCGCCACTGCCGTAGAGTTGGTGGTAGTATTGTTCGACTTCACTGTCGTGGTGGGCGCTGGTGTCACCGTCACCGTAGAATTGATAGTTGCGTTCGACTTGGCCGCAGTGGTGGTGGGGGCCGGAGTCACCGCGGCAGTCGAATTGGTGGTAGTACTGTTCGACTCCACAGTCGTGGTGGGGGTCGGAGTCACCGTGGCAGTTGTCGTTGCGTTGGCGGTGCTGTTGCCGGCCTTCGTGCTCGTGTAGACGCAGCCCCACGCGCCGGTCTTGATTTTTGCGCACACAGCATCCGCCGGCGCCACGCACGCCCCGACATTCGTCCAACTCGGCAGCTTGCTGCTGCTGCAGTCCTTCACGGCAATGGCGCCCTTGGTCGGGCACAACGAACCAGCAGGCGCGCTGCCTGAGCCGCTGCAAATGGGTCCGTTGATACAGTAGGTCGCGTCCGCCTCGACCGAGACGTTGACACAGGCGGCGGAGATGCTGGGAGCAGACAGAAGAACTCCGGCCAGGATGGCGTGGAAAAGGGCGTTCAACTGCATGGCTGAGGCGAGGCGTACTAGTAGCTGCTGCAGACGTCAACCACTAGTTGAGAGGGAGCTCGTGCGTTGCTCGAGGCGAATTGGAAAGTGAGAAGATGGATTTGGTCTCTTGGATCGAGGGCTTGGCATCGAGACGCTAAGCTGGTAGTCGTGCCTCCGGCCAAAGCTAACCTCCTGGGAGTTCTGTCCAGGAGAGATGATTTCAGTGAGCAGAGGTCGAGCATAGAGTAGCGGCTTTCAGGTCGAGTAAACCCTTGACACCGGACGCCGTTGGAGCCACTTGACTTTGGTAGCTGCGTCTTTCAAACAGCAAAACAAATCCAACAGAATTGTTTTGTTTTACAAAGCAGTGGCTGTCGATAGTTTTTTTGCATGTTCAAGCGTTGTTTTCAAGTTTCCTTGACCCCTCCAGCAGTTCATTTTGGCAGTAAAAGGTGAACGGCCTTAGCGCGGTAAATGGCGGGTCGATATTGAGATATTGAGACCATCGTTGTTCGCCCGACTCACTCGTGATACCGAGTTAGTTGCGCTGTAAACTGACTCGGTGCTGGACTCTGGCTCATTTAACTGTGCGCCGACCGGCGACTCAGCTCACCAAGGGCATGACTGCACAGTGTCGGAGCTTGACAAGAATCTTTGGGCAGACTCGATTGGATCGGCAGATGCCAATGAATAGACGAAGAGCTCGAGGCTGGCGCGCATCGGCCGCGTGCTCGAGGTGCTGCTCGTCTACAGGCGAAAACGGCATCTCGGTGCAGGGGCATGTGTACTGCAACTACTAATTCATCGGCGAAGCGTCCAGTGGAGGAGTCAACATGGGGAGAAGACAGACAGCATTTGTGCAGAGGGGACGAGGCGTCGAGACCCCTTCGAGTAGATGTGGACGCTGGAAGGTCGAAGTTCGACCTTATTACTTCGCTAGAAAAGCTTGGGGCCAGACGTGGCGCAGACAACTGAGTGAGAACCCTTTGAATCTAAGGAGATGCAACAATACGTCAACGACACTGGGGGGGGCTCGTCCACTTCGACATGATGTTGCCCTCGCTTAAGTACGCCACCTAAATCATACATAAAGTACGAATTTCGGTCGGCTGGTTCACATCACTATCACCGCCTTCGAGCAGCGCAGCGCGGCAACGATGGCCAAGTCGCACGGAGCCCACGGGGACAAGAAGAAGCGCCGCCGCAATGACAAAGTGCGTGTCCCCACTCGCTAGTGTATATATGACCATGAATTATGGCAGCCTCTCACCGATCTGCTCAATGGTGCAATATGGCGCCCCGATAGAAACACGCGGCCAACGGCAGCAGCTCCAACGCCGCCGCGCAGCAGATTCGCGCCGCCAAGTCGCAGACCAACGCCCTCTTCTCGCTGACGGCGTCCTCCAACCCGAACCCCAAGAAATTGGGCCCGTTCAGCGACCGCCAGCGCATTTTGGTGGTCGGCGACGGCGATTTTTCCTTTTCGCTCGCGCTCGCCGTGTTCCTGGTGAGACCCGTCAATTGTCGTCAATTGGTCGACAGCATCTAATGGCTTGGGGCTTACTTAACCTGTGCGTAGGGAGGCAAGAACCTGGTGGCCACGTGCTACGACTCCAAGGCGGACCTGAAGGATAAATACTCGAACGCATTGCTCAACTGCGACGCGCTGGAGACGGCGGGGGTAGGCGCGACCAACTGGGAAATTACTACTGTTTATTATTTAGTATGCTAACTTGGAATTGGTGACAGGCGGAAGTGCACTTTGATGTGGACGCGACACACCTGGAGAGGGAGAGCTGGCTCAGCGACGCGCAGCCGTTCCAGTCGATCGTCTTCAACTTCCCGCATCTCGGCGGCGCGACGGAGGAGGACGTGGCCAACAACCAGAAGCTGCTGAGGGACTTCTTCTACTCGACTCGGCAGTTCCTGCACCCGGTGCGGGGCCAAGTGCTCGTGTCACTGCGCAACACGCTGTTCTACAACCGCTGGAAGATCCAGGAGCAGGCTGCGGCAAGCGGCTTCAAGATGAAGCGGTAGGTGGAGAGATCGTTTTGTTCAGAGACTTTGGCCACTTACACGGCGGTGTCTGATGTTAACAGGACGGAGCCGTTTGATGCCAGCCTTTACTCTGGCTACGAGCCTCAGAGAACGCACCCGGCGTCATTCCGAGGCGAGCCGCCGTCCACTTCTGGGGCCTACTACTTCACCTTCTCGCTTGAAAAGAGCATTGAAGTGACTGATCCGCGCTTGAAAGCTCATCAGGTGGCGAGTAGTGGAGAGCCCAAGCGCGACATTGCCGCTGCCAAGAAGGTGCGTGACAATTAGGTCATCGTCTGCTACCACGTTGAACACCATGCTGACCTACTACTTATTATTTTTGTTATGCAGGGAGCTGCGAAGAAGAAAGCACCTGCACCTCCAACCAAGACGGCTTGCCAGCCCTGCGGTCTCACGTTCCGCGACGTGAAGAAATACAATGGACACATGAACTCGGCCAAGCATGCTAAGAAGGTGAAGGCTTTGAAGAAGAAACACTAACTACCTACACATTGATGCAAACGGAAGAAGTCTTCACGCTTCAAAGTGTTCACTAGCTGTTCATAGCTCCGGACCGAACTAATAGACAGATGTGATGATCGCTTGTTCACCGACCTGTCCGATCCTTCCTACTCCAGCGTAACGATGAGCTTGCCAACATTTTCGCGCGCAAACATCCGATCGATGGCGTCGGGGATGGACTCGAACCCCTTGTACGTCGTGGGGTCCACGCCCGGCTTCAGTTTTCCCTCGTCGATGAGCTTCAGTAGCCGCTCTGTGTGTTCGCGAATGTGCTCCTCGAAGTGATACATGAAGAACCCGCGGATCGAGGCCGACTTCATGAGAATCTTCTCGTTCGCTTCCCACGACAGCAGCGGCTTGGGCTTGAGAGAGTCGTCGCCGTCCTTGGTCTCGGTCTCCAACACCCTCGAGATGAAGCCGATCTTGATGATGCGCCCACGCACTGCGATGTTGTCGACAGCGGCACGGAACATTTCGCCACCGATGGACTCGAACACAATGTCCACGCCGCTCGGGTACTCCTTCTTGAGCACCTCGCTCACGTTTTCTTTGTTGTAGTTTATCACACGTTCGCAGCCGAGTTGCTTGAGAGCTTCCGCCTTCTCGTCGGAGCTCGTGGTTCCAATGACGTGGTTACCTGCAAGTTTGGCCAGCTGAACCACGAACTGCCCTGTGCCACCAGCGGCTGCAGTCACGAGAACGGTCTCGTTCGACTTCATCTCGCCAAGGTCTTCGAGGCACATGGAAGCGGAGACGCCGCCCACCGCTACGGGTAGTGCGTTCCGCGAGAGCTTCGGGATCTTGATGGCAGCAGATACTGGCACTTCGACGTATTCAGCGTAGGCCCCGAGTGTCTGGTACATGACAGCATCTCCAACTCCCACTGAGGTGACGCCATTGCCGACCTCGGTCACGAGTCCTGCTCCTTCGACGCCCGCAAAGAACGGCAACTTGTCGTTGTACATTCCATTGGTGAGATTGACGTCAGTGGAGTTGATGCCCAGATAGCGATTCTTCACGATGATGCTGCCCGGCTTAGCGGTGGGTAGTTCAGGCACGTCAACGATCTTGGTAGCAGCTCGGAAGTTTTTGGTCAACTTGTGCACTTGAACTGCACGGTACGGAGGCATATTGTCGGTTGGAATCTGCGGGTGAATGAGAGAGGTCGAGCTGTGCAGTGCTGGGTAGGAGGAAGATTGCAAAGTGAGAGAAGATGTAAGCGCTACATACAGCTAGGGTCTGCATTGTAATCCGAAGACGAGCGCAATCGTGTGAGATATCCTCCGTGATTGCACCCACCATCATGATCGATTTGTCGATAGCCTGTAAACGCCGTTTACAGGCTATCGACCTTTGCCAATCCAAGTTGGCAGTAGCGCAAGGCAAAGCCGAGAGTCCCGTAAATACGAAAAATATTTTTTTCAAAAACTTATTTTCGAGGATTAGTACTGACCAATGTGGATTTAGTCCACAGCAAACATCTAAGTTCCATACTTCATGGGCTCGCTACGAATAGCAGCGGCGACAGACCTTCCGTCCGCTTACAGTACAGGTTGTACAGTAGTAGTTGGTCTCGTCATAATACACGATAAAAGCACCGTTCCGCTCATGCTTCAGCAACGCTTCACCAAACACCCTCCTCTTCTCGATATTTACAGCATTATTGCAGGTCTCGGGCTCTACGCGAACCTATCACAGGGAACATATTTAGTACAGTACAGTAGATGGTAAAAGTGATAGCATAATAACTTGAAGGCGTACCTGCTTAACAGTGTAAAGCTTATCGCAAAGCTTCTTACTGATCAACGAAGTGCTGATGTGCACCCTGAAGTCGAACGCAAGCATTTCCTGCATCTGCACGAGTGTGTACTGGCAGTTGTCTTCCAGGTAGCCCACGAGAGCTTCCTCCATTTCTGGAGTACACTTCGTGCACGCCGCCCGCGCGTCGCCTCTCTTCTTGACATCAGCGGCTTGGCGCTGGACGATGTTGCGGGCAGTAGTGGGAGGGATGCCGTTGCAGTCGGCAACCAGCACCCAGTCACGCCCTTCTCGGTGTGCATAAGCATGTTGCCGGCGGAGACAGTCTGTTACTGACCAGTGATTTGAGTTTGCTCTGCACTAAATCCACATTGCTCTAAATACTAATTTCAGAAATTATTTTCCGATTTTTGGATGTTACTTAAGTTACTTCACAGCGTTTTGCTTTACAAACTTGGATTGGCAAAGTGTAGTAAACGGCTATTACAACAACGTTAACATCGACAGGAACGGGAATACTCACGATCCTGTAGCAACATTTCGTTGCATTATTGGTAGACTTTTACTTGCCCATTTCACGCGGCAAACTTTTCAAGGGTTGACACATTCTCGCTGCGTATCCAGGTTCGCGCCTGTCTAGCGGTGCACTCACTTCGACTCCTTTTCCAAAGGAAGGTCGCTGCGCAGGCCCCACTCCGACCACGACCCGTCGTACACAGGGGCTCTGCAAGGGAAACAAAACATAGTCAGAATTGGCATGCAGGACATGGGTTTCGCTCGGACTTACTTGTCCAACGGCTTTCCCGCCAAATGCAAGCCAAACGTCAGCACACTCGCAGTCACACCAGAACCGCAGCTGTACACAACAGGTTGCATCAATATCAGACAACGCGTGCTTGAGCAAGCAAAGCGAGCGACGCACCTCGTAATAATCGGGCTCGTTTCATCTGTCTTCACGTCTATATAGGTGTCATCAATCAGACAAAACGTGAGGAGCAGCTCATTCCTCGGACTATGAGTGGTGACTGCACTTACTTGCTTCAGCAAAGGCAGCCTTAATGTCAGCCAGATCGCGGAAAAGCTGCACGCAGGTATAGTTGTGGTTAGACGCTCTCCACTCGACTCACTGACTCGGGGTAATATCAACTCACCGAGTAGTCGTCCGGGCTCACAAGCTTTCCAAACGGCACATTGAGGGATCCAGGGATGTGACCACCACGCATGCCTGGACGCGGCTCCTGTAAAATACGAAGCAAGAAAAAAAGTTAAACCTGACGTCCTTGTATACTGTGGCACCATGCCAACGTACGGGTTCCTTGGCGTAGAAGCGCGCGGCGCCACGAGCGTCCACGATTTGGGTGTCCGAGCCGATCTTGGCCAGCACGTCCTCCCACGACACGGCAAGGTCCTCGTTGGGCTTGGCCTTGTACGCGGCGCCCGCCACCACCGTCTGCGGCTCTCCGGTTTCGATCTCGCGCTTCTCGCTCTTCCACTTGGTGATGCCTCCTGCAACAATAGACGACGCGTGTGTGTGAGTTCATAGTCCTTTGCACCGCCAGCCGTAGTAGTAGAAGGGTAGTGGCCAACTCACCATTCAGAATGTGGACGCTGTCGTGGCCAAAGTACTTGAACGTCCACCAGCAGCGCGCGGGGCTGCATCATCACGTAAAACAAGTCAACTAGTGGACCCCTACCACCCCTACCAACACTCTAATACCCTACGCTGCCCTGCCGGCGCACCTGAAGCAGTGCTTGCCGCCGTAGACGATCACTGTGTCGTCGTTCTCCACGCCGAGGTACCTCATGGCGTGCTCGTAGGTCTCCGCTAGCAGGCAAGAGGAACAAGCAACTGTTAAGAGTGTGGCTAATCCTACTTCCCTCTACGTTTTAGGGCTAACTTTTAGGCGCAATTTCTTACGCGTGGGCAGCATGTGCGGCAGCGTGGACGTCCCGTCCGAGATCTGCTCGATGTCGAAGAACTGCGCGCCCGGCAGGCGCTCGGCCGCGAACTCCTTCTTGGCGTCGCGGCTCTTGTCCAGGTACCAGGACGCGTCCAGGAAGCGCACGCGGCGCTCTCCGCCCTGCGCCAGCGTCTGCGCCTGCTCCGTGGACAGCAGCGGCGACAGGGAGCTGGCCAGGCGGGAGGAGGAGGCGCGGGGGGAGCCGCTCATGGTCGAGAGCAGCGGGGACGAGCGGCGGGCGAGGGCGAGCATAGTGCCAATAGTGCCAAGTGAGCCGAATCAAATATCCATGGCTACTTTGAGAAATCAATTAGCTTGATATTTGTATGCACATGCAAAGTTTGGGTCGGGAAGGTTTATGGGTATTACGAAAATGTGCACGTTGAAGTCAGCTTCAACAATGATCATCACTCTTGGAAAGGCCATGCATTTGGTTAAACTGCAGGAGCAGCGCTAGACTACTCGAGGACGTGCAGGAGCGGACAGAAACAGAGAAGCGAGCGTTGCGCTGGAGGCTTAGACGACGGGCGTCATGACCTGGCCGTCGTACACGTGCAGAGACCTCGTCTCCACGTGCTGGCGGTACTTGTAGAGCCCGAAGCCAGCGGCGGCGAGGACCGCACCGACACCCGCAAGGATGGCGGCGATTCCAATGCCCGAGGTGGAAGAGGTGGCGGTTCCAGTGGCAGTGGCAGCGTTCAAAGTGCTGATCTGCTGCGTAGTCGAGGAGGAGCCATCTTGCTGTTGCTGCTGCTTCGTAGCCGAAGACGACCCCTGTCCCTGCTGTTGCTGCTGCTGCTGATAAGGCGTTTCCGGCGTCTCAGTGGGCTTCGATGACTTGGTCGGGACAGAGGGCGACGGCGTAGTGCTGCTAGGAGTGACAGTCGGCACCGGCGTTGATGGCAAAGGCGTCGGAGGCACTGCAGTCTTTGGAACAGTCGGCGCCGGTGTGGTTGAAGGGGGACTCGTGGCCTTCGGCGGGCTCGGCGTTGTAGGCGCTGGAGTGATCACCACATAGGTCGGAGGAGCTTCAGTCTCAGGAACGGTCGGAGCTGGTGTCGGGACGCTTGAAGGCGGGCTCGTGGGCTTTGGTGGCGCTTCAGTGCTTGGCGGACTAGGAGTTGTAGGCGCTGGAGTGATGACATACGTCTCAGGGACCGTTGGGGCAGGTGTCGGCACGCTTGAAGGTGGGAGCGAGGCCTTCGGCGGACTCGACGTCGTGGGCGCAGGCGTCGGAGGAGCTTCCGTCTTAGGGACAGTCGGAGCGGGTGCCGGCACGCTTGAAGGGGGCATTGTAGCCTTCGGCGGGCTTGGAGTTGACGGCGCAGGTGTGACCACCGTGTCGGTCGGAGTAGGAACCTTCGAAGGACTCGGCGTCGTCGGTGCCGGAGTAATATCCACCCATGTTGGCGTCGGCGCTGGAGTCTTCTCCCATCCAGGAATCGGAGGACAGGGCGTCGAGCTGGTTGTGGGCGCCGGAGTCGGAAGTTCGTGCGTCTCCGGTGTTGTTGGAGCGGGCGTAGAAACCACCTTTGGCTGGCCGAAGACGCAGCCCCACGCGCCAGCCTTGATACGCGCACAAGTGGCGTCCACTGGGGCAACACAAGTGGAGCTTGCACCCGTCCAGCTCGGAAGTGTTTCGATGCAGTCCTGTACCGCGACGTCACCCTTCAGAGGGCACGAGGCTCCAGCAGGCGCGCCCCCAGATCCGCTGCAAACGGGGCCCTTGATGCAGTACGTCGCGTCGCCTTCGACCGAGACGTTCGTGCAGGATTTCGAGGTCGAGGGCGCCGGAGTCGGGCTTTCCGCCGGCTGCTGAATGCTCTCCGTTGGGTACGGAGTGGGGGCATTCGGTGATAGATTCGTCGGAGCTGGTGTCGGATTAGCAGCGGGCTTAGTCGGAGCTGGAGTCGGAGTGGCTGCGATCTTCGTCGGAGCTGGAGTCGAAGTCGATGAAACGGTGGGCGCTGGTGTAGGCTGCGGCTGCGTTGGCGTGGTTGCGACCGGCGCGTACTGCTGCACTACATCCTTGGGGTTTCCGGCGGCTGCGACGGCCAGTAGCGCGGCAGGGAAGAGGATGGCGCTGATCTTCATGCTTGGCCAAGTGGTTGGATACGAAAGTGTTGCTGCTTTCGTGTGGGTGGGCTGCCACTGGCGAGGCAATTTGAGAAGTGAGAGCGGAGCAGCGAGGGCTTGTTCGAGCGGACCGGCGTTAGGAAATGGTAGCGCGAATGTGTCAGCTGTATCCAGCACAACAGCCCGTACCCCCAAACAGCTCGCTGTCCGTTGATTTCTCCGCCTTCAACGCACTCAGCGTTGAGTCTCAGAGCTCATGTGTTCATGTTCGTCGGCGGCGCCAACAGTTGGGAATCCCGCTGCGGCTGTTGGAGTGTCGATGTCTGCATGTCGGCGCTTCACGCGGCACCCCAATGTGAAAAATTTGCTGCCAGCACCAACGTCCGCCACCTGGATGCACGCACGCCTGCACAAACGGTAGAAGCGTGTTGGCTCTATTGGCTCGCTGGGTTTCAGTCCGATGGTATCGTTGCGGTTGAGGTCTGGTGTGCACTGTGTGTGTGTGTGTGTGTGACCCCGCTCATTTGAGAGCGAGCTCCAGTCGGTCGGTCGGGTGAGCTGCATCTGCATTTCGAGAGCGCTAGCGCCGCCACGCGATGAGAGCGAATCCCACTTGGTGCCGGCCACCTGGTCAACCGAATCCATGCCCGACGGCGGCACTGACATATCTTGGTCGGCGGAGACCACGTGACGGTGTCGAGGTTTCGACGCATATCATGCGCTCCAACTAGAGAACTTGGCTCACGGGCTCTGCAGGGGCCTTGGCCGGGTTACTGCGCGCATCGGGGCCGCTCTGTCCATTGAGCGCTCACCCAGTGCTGCTGTCACGCAGGTCGATCCGTCCAGCCGCGCCAGGAATTCAGGGCCCTCTGTACCGATAGCCGTCGAAGCTCAAGTGAGCATCACTAAGTGCGATTCTGTAGCTGCAGGCAGACGATGATGCGCGAGCGCCCAGAGACTTGGGACTTCAGCTGGATGGCCGCGGCCACCCATAGCCTAGAGACGTACGAGGCCGCCCTGGAGACGTCCGAGGTGCGTGCTCCATCTAGCACCGCGTAGCGCTGTCGGCGTCTATTAACTGCTACTGGTCTGCGGGCACTTCAGTTCCCGAGTTTGCTGCTGGCGGCGCTGGACGAGCTGCTTCAAGCACCGGAAGCCAATGCACTTCCGCTCCAAGAGCTGACCGACGTCTGTGCGTGAGGTTGACATCGATCGTGTTGCGTCTGTGGATCATTGGAGCCTGGCGCTGACTGTGAGCGATGTGGCTGCAGTGCTGCAGATGATCGAGTTCCCCATTGACCTGGAGCTTCCTCAGGAGACCGTGGCGACACTGCATTCGGCCAGGGACTGGGCCATTCAGACGCTGCTGGACGTCCATACTGCGCGACAGTGCAATGAGGACATTCTTCAGGCCCCGATCATGTCGGTGTCGCTGCAGCAGATGCAGACAAAACTGTTCGTGTCGGCGCCATGCAGACAAGCGGACGTGCAGATGGAGCTGCACCAGTCGCTGCTGGCGGCACTAAAGGCCGAAGAGGAGACGGACACAGTGTCCGACATGCTGGAGCTGTGTGCTAACAGTCTAGAGGACGACGCCCAGTTCCTGCAGTTCGCCGAAACCGCATTGTCGGGCAAGGCCGAGTCGCTGGCACTTGGCGCCGCCTTCCTCCAACGCCTGCTTGATCGACGATCTATGCACTTGCCACCTGACGAGCAGTTGAACGAAGGGAAGACTCTGCGAGGGCAACGACTATTTGATGCGCTCACGTTGGGGAGCAAAGTCCGTGTGTGGGCCAACCACTTGCCGAGCTGGCGGTCGCAGCTCCAGACGTGGATGCTGGAGGTTCATCGTGCACCGTTCAAGCCGATCACCGCTGTGCTGCCCGACGGTTGGTGGCTTGAATGTGAATCGGATGCTGATGCCCCGGGTTGCGTTGCTCTTACCACAGCGTGCCAGCGCCATTCTCACTTATACGTGACTTTTATCGAGTGGTGTCGGAGTCACGTGGACTTGCTCTCATCGTGCCGAGCCTCGGAGCTCGCTAGTGTGTTGTCCGAAAGCACACGGCCCCAACACGTTGCTCGCTTATTTAACCGCAAGATGTTGAGCCAGGTCCCGCTGTTGGATCACTCACCAAATGGACGAGGGTGGTCCTCCAACCAGCGAAACCGAGCGTTCTTGGTGATAGGCAGCAATCTGGAGCAACTCCAAACTGCGTGCCCCGCTTCAGACAGTGTGTGGCAGTACGAGTGGATCGGTGTGGTAGAGCGTCCTCAACTTCTTCACGAAGCACTGGAAATCTCGTTTCCCATCGACTCCAATGGCCACATGAACGATGAGGCTCTAGCTGTCTGTCGCAGCGCCGCGCAGTTCTTTGGCTGGTTTTATTCCTACTCAAGCGCTGAGTCCGCAAGTGAGATCGCGGCGCTGGTCTCGCAAATGTCGTCCGAGTTGAAGGTGTCAGACGTTCAGAGTGGTGCGCAGTGGCTGAGACGGAGTCGTCCTGCCTTCGGCGTACTCCCGATTGTGCGGCTTCGTCTCGTTTGGTTTTGGCTTCTGAAGAGCATCGACATCTCGCTGCAGACTTCTGGAACAGCATGCGACACCACCATCGCAGCAGCGACGACCGATGTACTGGAGTCGGTCGAGTACATTTTCCGTCGCTTCACACCGCCCAGAGCCAAGAGACCCTTTCAAGTGGAGCTTGTGACGCAGTTACTTGTCGAACTCGAGTGGCGCGCACGGAATGCCAACGCGGAGACCAAGCTTGCGTTTTTGGATCGAATTGAACCGCTCCGTGCCTGGCTGACGAAGATCGTGCAGCTGATGCAGCTCGAGGAGCAAACAGCTCAGCAAAAAGACGGCCGCAGTCGCTTCGGCACTCGCAGGAGTTCGGCTCATGACGTCGAGCACTTGATCGATCGCCTCGAACAGTTTTCTGTGTGAAATGAATGCTCTTGTTGATTGTTGATTTCTCCTCAATTGATGATGTATTGTAACGCTAACATTGAAGACTCGCAGTGCCTCCGTCTCCTTTAACGCGGCAACTGACGTCCGTCTTACTGCTCCAGCACGCCGTCGGCCTTCTGGATCTTGAGCGAGAAGTCGAGGCACGGGTAGCCCTGCGTCAGCTTGCCCTGGCTCACGATGTCCACATGCGGCGACACGTACTGGCCGAGCGTCGCGGGCGTGATGCCGCCGCTGGCCTCGATGAGCAGGTGCGGGAACTGCTTCTTGAGCTCGGCGGCCGTGGCCTTGAGCTGCTCGGGCTCGAAGTTGTCGAGCATGACGATGTCGGCGCCGGCCGTGGCAGCCTCCTGCGCCTCCTCGATGCGGCGGCACTCGACCTCGATCTTCATGGAGAAGCCGGCGGCTTGCTTGGCCTTGTGCACGGCCTTGGTGATGCTGCCGGCGGCCCACACGTGGTTGTCCTTGAGCATGACCATCTGCGACAGGTCGTGACGGTGCGTGGCGGCGCCGGCCACGAGCAGCGCGTACTTCTCCACGAGGCGGAAGCCGGGCGTGGTCTTGCGCGTGCCGGCCACGTGACCGTTCCAGCCCAGCGCGCGCGCCTGCTCCACCGAGCGCTTGGCCTGCGTGGCCACGCCGCTGGCGCGCGTGAGGATGTTGAGCGCCGTGCGCTCGCCCAGCAGCAGCTGGCGGCACTTGCCCGTGACCCTGGCCACCGGCACCTTGCCGCCGGGCACGCTGCTGGGCTTCACCTCGTCGCCCTCCTGCAGCAGCCACTCGACCTTGCAGTCGAGCGCGCGGAAGACCTCGGTGAAGAACGGCACGCCGGCCAGCACGCCCTCGGACTTGCCCAGCAGCAGCGCCGTCTCCTCGGCCTCTGTCGGTCGGTCAACACACACACAACAGTCAGTCACAGTTTCCTTGGAACGGAGGAAAAAAGCGGCCGGCAACACGCACCGCCGACCACGAAGCCACCGACGTCGAAGCTCGGGATGTCGTCCTCCAGCCAGAGCTGCACGTGCTTGGTCCAGGACGGCGGCAGCAGGTGTGCGAAGTTGGACTCGGCCATGGTCGGAAGTGTCGGGCTTGGGAGGCTGGTTGACGCTCGGGCGAAATGCGGTGTGACGTGCGTGGCAACGAGCGCCGCGTACGTGTACCGCGCCTCCGGTACATGCAATCAAACACGGCCAGCTGGCACCGCGCGAGCCGGGGCCCTCTATGCCGTGTTGTCACCGCCCGCCCTTCACGGCGGCGAATTGCTCTCAGCGGCGTCAATGCCTTCCACCGTCTTCCGGCGGTGGCAGCAGCACCGGCATGGACGTCAATGGCCATCATGGTGACGCTGGTGCGAGTTGAAACGGATGTGCAGTGCAGCAACAGACATGCAGCCACCTGACTGAAGGCCAGCAACTGCATCGATCGAGTTGCATTGCTGAATCGCTGCAGCCAGCCAGCCAGCCAGGCCCACGAACAGCGCAGCGCTGCAACAGCATCCACGCTGGCTGCCGCCGCTGACTTTAAGTCTGGGACGGCCATTTTCGGCCACCCGAACCACTTCCAGAGTGGGACTGGAATTTGGCAAAATCTTTGTGTTGAAGCACCGATACTCACGCCAAGTACAGCGCCAACGACCCGGCCGGAGCTCGCACCAGTCACCACCGTAACCCCCGAGCGGCGCGGAAGCGGCCGAGGCCAGCGAGCGAACACACTGCCTGCTTCTCCGTCCGGCGCAAAGATCTCCACCAGCCTCCCGACCCTCCCATGGTGGCGCGCAAGGACCCCGCCGCTACAGCCGACGACGACGCGGCGCCGGGCCCCTGCGACGTGTGCGCGGCCGTCACCGCCGCGCTGCGCTGCGAGGCCTGCCGCCTCGACCTGTGCGTCGACTGCTCGCGCGCGCGCCACCGCAGCAGCCTGCACCTGACTACGGGCCGCTTCCGCTTCTTCCGCCCCGAGAGCCAACCGCAGCAGCAGCAGCAGCAGGACGAGGCCGACAGCAGCTACGAGTCGCCGCCGTCCACGGCCTCGGCGCCCAACTCGCCCGCGGCCGACGAGCTGCGCCACTGCTCGCAGGTCTCCGACGGACTTTGGGGCTTTGATGACGCCCTCGCGCAGTCGCTGCGCGCGCTCGCCTTCGCCACGGACGAGGAGGAGGACTCCTCGACCCACAGCGCTACGGCCACAGCAGCCACAGCTAAAGCCCCGACTACTACGACTACAGCAGCGGAGAGGCGCCCGCGCAGCTTCTCGGACTACGCGGCGCTGGGCGACGCCGAGCGCTGGCGAGCGCACGCCGAGCTGAGCGAGCTCGGGGAGCTCTGGGACGCCATGCGGACGGACTTCGCCTCGCGCCACGTGGTCGTGCGCTGCGGCGCCGGTTCTTGGGACGCGCTGGACGTGCGCCGTGTCGTGGACCGCCTCAATGTAAGTACGCACGCGATCTTATTGTCCATCTCCTAGCTGCTAGCGCTGACCGACTGATTGTGGTTGTTGCTGCTGTCGCTGCAGAACTTCGGGGGCGTGGCCAGCACGCGGCGCGAGCTGACTGCAGGCGGCCTGCTCTTCTGCACCTTCTTCGATCTCACGAGCGCCGTGGCTGCCGTTGACCGCTGGCGCGCCGACGCAGACGTCATCAGCTTCTGCCTGCCGTACGAGCTGCCGGACGACGTCAACTCGGCCACGCTGCTCGTGCGTTTCGCGCTCGGCGGACCGGCCGTAACGGCCGTCGAGCTGCGCCAGGTCTGTGCGTGCTTCGGTCAAGTGGCCAGCATCCTGCAGCCGGATCCGCAGGTCGCCAAGTACATTGTCGAGTACGGCGACTCGCGCGCGCTACCGGCCGCGCTCAACGGCCTCTCGCGCGCCTTCCACGCGAGCGGCTCGCTGTCGGTGGCTCGCACGACGCCGCCGACATTGGACGTCTCCAAGCTCAAGCTCTTCCAGGAGTGCCTGAACCGGGCCGCCACGACCCACCCGCGCCTCACTCGGGCCCGCCCCAAGAGCTTTTCGTCCAGCAGCACGTCGCTTCTGACGTCGCCGACATCGTCCGTCGCGTCGTCGCTCAACGCGTCCTTCCTGGACGGCGCCAGCAACAACAGCCCGATGGCGTCCGCAACGTCGGCCACGTATCCTGGAGCCGGAGAGCTCACGTCTCCAGTGCTAATGCCGCAGGAGGAGCAGCACATCTGGGCGAGGCCGGCGCCTCGAGCCAGGAGCAACTCGTCCTCGGCGTATCTTGGCGGTTCTCTGTCGTCCAGCAGCTTCGGCGACTCGGCGGCATATTCAAACGGGTTTACGCTTCCGTCTTCAAGCAGCAGCAACAGCATCGGCTCGTTGTCTAGTCGCGCAAATGGATATTCGTCGTTCCAGCAGCAGGGTGTTCATCAATTGCAGCCCTCCAACAACCAGGTCTCGCCTTCCGCCTCCGAGCAGCAGCAGCAACAGGCCTATTACGACTTTCGCGGACGGCAGCGCATGCAGACCAAATTCGCCCCATCCATGAGAAGCAGCTTCGGCAACAACGACCACTTTTTCCGGACAAGTGTGGCGTCTAGCAGCGGACACGCTGGGAATGCACACGGCGGTGGTAGCTCTGCAGGCCGCCCGGCGACGGGGCGTAACGACAAGGGCACGGGCGAGTTCAGCTTATCCATCGCCAAGGTCGCGTCGGGCGAGGACAAGCGGACAACTCTGATGATCCGCAACATCCCCAACAAGTACACGCAGCAGATGCTGCTCGCCGAGATCAACCGCAACCACCGCGGCAACTACGACTTCTTCTACCTGCCCATCGACTTCAAGAACAAGTGCAACATGGGCTACGCCTTCATCAACTTCATTGAGGCAGCGCACATCGAGGCGTTCCACAAGGAGTTCGACGGCCAGAAGTGGACCAACTTCAACAGCGAGAAGGTCTGCGCCATTTCGTACGCGCGGTTGCAGGGCAAGCAGGCCATGATCGCGCGCTTCCAGAACTCGAGTCTGCTCGAGAAGCACGAGTCCTACCGCCCGCTGGTGTTCGGCAGCTCGGGGCTGCACCGCGGCAAGCCGGAGCCCTTCCCAGCGCCCAAGCAGCTCGTCCACAAGAAGCAGACAGCAGCGCACTCGCATTCCCCGGGAATGTTTGGAGGCGCTGAAGACTATGGCAGCTACGTAGCCCATCGAATGTATTCGCAGCAGCCATCACCGCAGCAACTGCAGCACGCCCAGCAGCAACAGCAGCACTCGCTTGCCGTTTATCCTCAGCAGCTACTGGGGTTGGCCCAGCACGCAATGCCTCCTGTCCCGACCGCCCACTTTGGCGTGCAGACACTGCCGCTGCAGTACATACCCTCGTACCAGCAGCAGAACGACCCCCAACTGGCGTCGCCGTTTTTGTATGGGGTGGCCGGGATGCCGTCCGAGTACACGCATTGAGAGGCATTGGTGTCCTGTCCTTCCAGCCTGGCGACTCAACCAGCCCCCTGCCTGCCTGCCTCCTGCACTTCGTATTATTTTGTTGAGCGCCTGTGTACTCTTGTTTACTTTTTGGCTTGCTGGTTTTTGATACATGCTCACTGTGTACTGATTAGTTGGCTTTAGCTCGATAAGTAACTCGCTCCCAAATACAGCAACTAGCATTGTGAACAGCACATGCATAGCGATGACCAAAGGAGGAGAGGCGGCGGCTGGCATGGGACGACTTGGATCACGTCGCGAAGAGGAACCGCAGGTCTTCCTCCGTCAGGCGACAAATGGCGCTCACGTTCGCGCCGACAGTCCCCTCGAAGATCAGGCGCTTCTTCTCCTGGAGCTTCAGGATGCGCTCCTCGACGGTGCCGGCAATGATGAAGCGCGTGGCTTGGATCGGCTTGAACTGGCCGAGGCGATGCGTGCGATCGATCGCCTGGTTTTCAGCCGCAGGGTTCCACCACGGGTCCATCAGGAAAATGCTGCAGGACACAGAACACAACACGTAAGGCGTCAGTCAGGCAACAGCAGCTATAGCTCACTCAGCACAACCCATCAAACACTTACTGCGAGGCGACTGTCAGGTTGAGTGCGACGCCGCCAGCCTTGAGACTGATCAGGAACGCTGTCACTGTCGGGTCATCGCGGAAGGACTTGATGGTTCGGTCTCGCACGGCCATCGTCATGTTGCCGGAAAGCTTCACGCACTTGATGCCGCCAAGTTGCAGCCGGTGTTGGATGATATCCAACATGTTGACGAACTGCGAGAAGATGATGGCCTTCCCGGACGGATCGCGAATACGCATGAGCTCGAGCTCCTGCATCAGCGCTTCTATCTTCGTGCTGGACTGGAACGCGTGGATGTCGGAGATCCTGTGAAGAAGACTATTCCGGTGGAAGCTGGACAAGTTTACAGCCTTCGGTGACCTGCAGTTTGACGCCTCGTTGCCAATGTTCCCCAGATCTGTCTCTACTGGTGGGGACAAATCGACCGTCAGCGGCTTTGAACAGGTTGGGCACGTCGCCTCTCCTCCAGCCGGAAGCGACTCGATGTACTCTTTCACGCACTCCCGACAGAACTCATGCCCACACTTTGCAGTGACCCCATCTTCCAAGTATTCGTGGCAGATCGTGCACACTCGCTCGTCCTCAGGGCTGCTACCAGCGTTGGTATCAAAGGGCTGCTCTTCCACCAATGGAGCAGCTGAACTCGGGAGTTGGAGGGCTGGGTTGGACTTGGAGTAAATGACAAGGTACGGGTGGTCCACGGCTTGGCGAAGACGGATAAGAAGGTCAAAGATGTGGGCGTAGTTGTTCAGCAGCGTCCCCGACGACACGTAGGTGTTGAACTGCGCTTGGCTCTGCGTGTAGATCGCCTCGTAGAAATCGTTTTCACGCTCGTCCAGGCGATCCTTTCGAATACGCACGAGCTTCGGTGGGAGCGAAATATCGTCTGCTCGGCCTTCTTTGGTACGGCGCAGCAAAATCTACAAAATGCACCACGTTAGCATTATTCACACGACTCATTTGAAATGACAGGCATACTTACGTGCTGAAGAACGTCGTTCTGCAGCCTTTGCATTGCAAGCTTGCCTTCTGCAACGTAGCCGTATGCCTGAATCGGGATAACCACCTTCTTGTTGAAGTAGGAGTAGTGCTGGATGGCGCTGTGAGTGCACTGCGCACACTTTTTATCGGGAAAGCTGGAGTAAGCATAGCAACTAGGTTAGATACCGCAGGATCATTAGGATTGAGCGGGGATACGTACTTGTAATCTAGCATCTGGCAATCGCACACGTTGCAGTGGTAGTACGCGTACTTCTTCACTTGGAGAAACCGCACGAGGGAGAACAATTCACCGATCCGATTTTGCAAAGGTGTTCCTGCAGCAGCGAGCACAAGTAATAGATGTAAGCAAGAGTAACTTCAAGCAGTAGCCTGTAGAGAGAGGGGATACCTGACAAGCACCATTTGTAGGTAGACTTGAGCTCGAAGACACCGCAAGCCGTATTGCAGTTCCGGTCTTTAATATAGTGAGCTTCGTCCAGAACGATGCGCGTCCAGTCAATCTGGTGCAACGGTGACTTGCCCTTCGCCTTCTGGGGAGCGGTTTTCTTCTCCTCGACCTCCTTCTTTGAGCGCGGTGTCGCCCGACCTCTCGACTTCTGCACTGGTTTCTTTAGATCGTCATCGTCTTCTTCCTCATCGCTGGTCTCTCCAGCGGCTTTCTTCTTGGGTCTCTTCTTCTGTTGCTTGTCCTGCAGGGCTGTCTTCTTCGCATCAGGCCCGCAGAAGTACTTGTTGTGCGATATGAGCTTGTCCGGCAGGTACTTCTTCCCGCAGTATTTGCACGCGACCTTCGACCAGCCCAGCGTCTTGCGAATCTCGCTCTCAATGATCGAGTACGTCGTCAGCACAATGTCGTACGAAGCAATCTTCTCGATGGAATCCAAGCGCTTGTTGCCGTGGTGAATGTAGACGGAAAGGTGACCCGGTTCGACGAACCGCTCGATCTCGCTCTTCCACTGCATGACGGCCACGAGAGGACACACAACCAGCGTCCCGCCGCGCACAGATGAGGAGGATTTCCGGCCCTTTGCAGCCTTACAGCTAGCCGATGGGGCCTCCTCTCGGACATTTTCAAGCATGAGGGAGATGGCCTGGATCGTCTTGCCCATGCCCATTTCATCCGCTAGAATGCCGCCTCTGTAGCCGCTTTCCTCCTGCCCAACCATCCAGGCCAGTGCCTCTCGCTGGTACGGAAGAAGCGTCGCCGTCAGGAACTTCGACGGCTCCTTCTCTGGCATGCGGCCCTTCTTGTTGAAGTGGTCGTCCGAGAGCTCGAGGCGCTCATCGATGACGCCGTCCAAGTCGTTTTGCTCCATGTACTCACGAACGCGCTTCTGGTCCGCCGGCTGGAGCTTCGACAGACCGTCGATCGGATCATCATTCTTCTTCTTCTTTTGCTGCTGCTTCTTCGTGGGCTTTTTCTCGACCCCTTCAACGTCTGTGTCTTCCTCCTCCTTAGGCTTATTAGCTGCAAGTCCAGCCTTCAACCCGATATCAGTGCACTCCAAGTGCTGCATAATAAGATATACACACACCATGTCAGAGGAATACTCTGGATAACAGCCCTCAGATTGCCCACGTACCTTGTAGTACGTGGTGTCCCCAAAGATCGAGTGGCGGATGCTGACACCGACGCGGAGCTGCTTCGCCTGGAACTTCTGCTCGCAGCTCTTGCACTGCATTCAATTGGGCACAAAGCGTTAGGCATAACTTTACTGCATGCAGCAAGATCCACAGGCTTACCTTCGCCCTAGCATTGGCCGCGTACTCGACGAAGTAGTGCGGGCCTTCGTACGGATCCTCCTCCTCCTCCGACTCGTCACTCTCGCCAACAAACTCAATGTCCAACGAGTCGACGTCACTCACATGTGCGTTGCTGGCTGCTACTGCAACTTCCGAGACGACTACCGCAGGAGAAGCTCGTTGCTTCCCACGGCCAGTCCCTGCGTTCCTGTGCCTTGCAGGAGATTTCTTAGCCACAGCCACGGGGCGTTTTCTAGCCGATGGACGGGCATCTTCCACTTCTGACTCATCGTCATCATCCTCGTCATCGCCCCCCTCCGAGACGCTCTCCCCAACAAAGTCACTATCCGCATCATTGTCCTCATCGTCATCGTCATCGTCATCGTCGCCGTCGCTGCTTTGGACCACCGACTTGCGGGACGATGCACGGCGAGCCGTGCGACCACCTCCTCGAGCCTTGGCGGCTGGCGGCTGGGGCTGCTCCTCCACCTTCCTCTTCTTCTTCATGGCCGCCTTCCCGTTCGGCCGCTTGGGGAGCGTCTTGGCGATTGGTTTGTCGCCCTCTTCGTCTTCTTTCTCCTCCTTCTTGGCGACTTTCCTGGCCACGCGCCGTCTCTTGGGCGCTGGCTGCTCCGTCTCCTCCTTCGCCTTCTCATCTTCTTCTCCTCCTCCTTCCTCGCACTTCTTCCGCTTCCCAGTGGCGGCAGCGGGCGCCTTCTTCGCCCTGCAGCCCGGACACTGCCAGGCGTCCGCCAGCTGTGGGCGGCGCCGCAGAGGCGGCGTGAGGCAGCCCAAGTGGAAGAGCTTGGTGCAGGCGGCGCAGCTGACGGTCACGCGCTGCGACTGCTCTTCGCACACTGCGCACACATCGGCGGCGTTGGACTCCGAGTCCCCGGCCGCCTGTTGCTGCTGTTGCTCTTGTTGCTGCTGCTGGGACCGCAGCCGCCTCGCCATTGGCTCCGCTTGCGTCTTTCGCTTCAAATTGCCGACTGAGATCGCGGCCGCCAGGTCGGCAACTCCTCTATACAAAGCGCTAGATACGAAAACAGCTGGGTTTTGGCGGCAACAAGTGGCCGACTTGGGCCACTTGGCGCCAAGCACTTCAACTGCAACAACTGGTCGCCCGGGAGATTAGATTATTAAAGGAGGGGGGGGGGGGGGGTTCAACCGATGTGGATAAATGTCATATCATTCTGGGCAGGGCAAGGCAAGGCAAGGCGGGGGCTGCTGTGCGTCCCTCTTTCCTCTACGAGACGGCCATGGAAGTCAGATGCGCGAACGAGCCTGGGGGCAGCACCAGCTTCTTCCGGGACCGCAGCGCGCTCTCGGCGTTGATCTTCTCCAGCAGCAGACGGAACTGCTCCACCTCGCGGTCGATCTCGTCTTCCTCCGGGTCGCGCGCCTCCGTGTCCGAGTCGCCGCTCGCGTCGGTCAAGGGCAACGCAGGCGGCTCCTTCACTGGACGCCTTGCTGCTGTGGTTGCTGCTTGCTTGTGCTTGGGGGACGCAGACGCGCGCGACGACTGGGAGCCAGTATCTCGCTTCTCCAGCGCTCTCTGTGCCGCGGCCTCCTTCTTTCGGCGCTTCTTCTCCTTCTTGTTCTTCTTCTTCCTGCTGCTGGAGGAGGGTTTCTGACTGGCCTTGAGGTCTGCGAGCTCGTCTCGGAGCAGCTCCGCCTGGATCGCCAGCGAGTGCTGCAACGCCTCTTGGTACGCGTCCTCCAGCTGCCCGTGAACAAACAAACGAGAAACAAAGATTAGCTCTGTGGTGGCCATATCCGGCAGTAGGTAGGTAAGCAAGACGCGCACCTGTTCTCTAAACTTGATGGCTAGCACCTCCAGCAAATATTCCTGCGCCAAGTGTGAAGTGTTGGCGCCTGGGCATGTGTCGTCGACGTCATCGTCCTCTTCGCTGTCTTCGCTGTCGTCGTCGTCGAAGCCCGACCGGAAGGGTGACACGTAGCTGAACTGCTCGCCGCAGCGGATGAGGTCCATGATGAAGTCCGTGTGGTCCTCCCGAATAATGATATAGCGTTCCTCCTTCTGAATAAGCCGCAGCAGCTCGTCCTCCTGCCGCTTGCCGACTTCCAGCGCGGCCAGGTACTCGTCCGAGAGCATGCCGCCGCCCTTGCCGCCAGCCGCTCGTCGTCCCTCGCGCTCCAGCTCATACTTAAAAACCAGTTCCTCCTCCTCTAGCACCATTTCCTCCGCGGCCAGCATCTCCTCGTCCGACTTGTCTTCGAGCTCGTCTGCCTCCTCTTCGTCGTCTTCCTCCTCCTCATCATCTTCTTCTTCATCGTCCTCCTCATCATCCTCGTCATCCTCATCATCCTCGTCGTCCTCCTCATCGTCGTCGTCTTCGTCGTCGTCCAGGAACGGCGGGAAGACGCTGAAAACGTCCTGGAGCGAGCGGCTGCCGGAGCGTTTCCGCTCGTGGTCCTCCCACTCGGCGATGACGTTGTCGTGACACTCGCAGCACAAGTTCTGGCCCACGAGGAACTGGTCCAGCGCCGTGAGGTACGTCTCGCGCCGGATCCGCAGCAGCCGCCGCTTGGCCACGAGCGACAGTTCCCTCCAGAAGTTGATGAGCTCCTCGCGCGTGTAGCCCTTGGGTCCGTTGAGCCCCACGACGCTGTTGTTGCTGCTCGTGGAGCCCGTGGACGCCGCCGCCTGCGGAGCCGCGCCGCGCTCGCCCGCTCGGGGCATGAAGCGGCTGCTGAGCTCGCGCGCGAAGTCGCTCTCGGACGGCCACGGGTTGCTGCATAGCGCACAGATATTCCAACAGAGAGAGAGAGAGATCCCCCAGTCGTCAGTACTTTTGATCGCTATTGGGAGGGGGGAAGGGGAGGCCACCTACCGGTACTTGCGCGCCAGCATGAAGCCCGACGAGCGCCGCAGCAGCCGATGGCGGTGCAGCAGCAGGTCCGTCTTGGCGCCCGCCGTCTTGCCGGCGTGGGGCGCGTGCGTCGTGGTCTTGGGGCCTCGCATGGGGCGGCCGCTCTAAAGGTTTTCTGTCTGCTGAAAACTGCGGCCGTACCCGATTTGCGGTACAACACGCGCTCCCGTGTTCTGCACACCAAATGTAGCCACCTGGACACTTCCGACACCTCCGACCTCCGACACCGATGTCGTCGCTGGCGGCGGCGCAGGCCGACGGCTACTACTACCCGGCCGAGTGGCGGCCCGAGCATGGCTCGCTCAACCAGTTCCACGGGTCGCACCCGCTGGGCAAGCGCGCCAAGCGCCTGGCGAGCGACGGCGAGCTCGTGGTGCGCTTCGAGATGCCCTTCAGCGTCTGGTGCGCGCACTGCGACGTCCACATCGGCCGGGGCGTGCGCTTCAACGCGCGCAAGAGGAAGGCCGGCAGCTACTTCACGACGACGGTGTGGGAGTTCCGCATGAGCTGCGCCGGCTGCGGCGGCGAGATGGTCGTCCGAACGGACCCGCGGGCGCGGGGCTACGAGCTCGTGAGCGGCGTCAGGGAGAAGGCGGAGGCGGCGGACGCCCAGGAGACGCAGACGGAGCGCCTCAACGACCCGGAGCTGGCCGTCAAGCTGCAGAGCGACCCCTTCTTCAGACTCGAGCACGAGAACGAAGACAAGCGGGCGGCCAAGAGGCGCGCGCGCGGGCTCGAGGCGCTCGTGGAGCTGCAGGACGCCCAGTTCAAGGACGACTACGCCAGCAACGCGGCGCTGCGGGCGCAGTTCAGGGGCAAGAAGAAGCAGCGCAGGAGCAGGGAGCAGGAGGCCAAGCGCCTGGGGCTCGGCATCCCGCTGCTGGACGTGCATCCGGACGACGTGCTGGCGTCGAGGGCAGTCGTGTTCAAGGACATCCCGCAGAAGCGGCGGCCGTCGAGTCGGCGGTCAGAGCCGTCCAAGTCGCGACGCAGTATCAGCTCGAGGGACTCTGCTGCTTCAGCTGTGAGAGACTCTAGCCCACTCTCGGCGAGAGTGGACTCGTTCCAGCACTTTGGCGACCCTGTGGGCTCCCAGTTGCAGCGTCTGAGGGCGGCCAAACATCGAGCGGCGAAGACGCGGCCACCGCCTCGCAAGTGAATGTGTCAGTCTAACGTTACCGGTATTCCATCATACATTGATGCACGCAGCCCTCTGGTAGCTGCTGTATGAGCCGCTCTTCCAACTCAAAAGGAACAAAAAGTGCATTCAATCTCCATCATTATCAAATAATAAATGTAGTGGTAGCTGGATAGTCTCCACCTCACTCGAGCGCCGCACAGAGGCGCGGGACGTCGCTGCAGAGCACAGCGAGAGACTTGAAGGCGCGGTCTTCGTCGCCCTGCCACACCTGCAGACACTCCTGGGCGGTGCCCACCATTTCGCTCGAGTAGTTGGCGTCCTCGCTGTACGCGCAGTACGCCAGCAGCACGCGCACGATGCCCCTCTTCTCGCTCTCGCCGGCGTCTGCCGCGTGCTCGTCCACGTCGCCCGTGATGGCCTCGAAGTTGTCGTGCTTGCCGCTGAGGATGTACTCCTCCACGTGCATCGACGTGTCCGAGATGCTCGAGGCGAGCTGCAGCAGTCGCTCGCCCTCCGTCTGGCTCGTGCCGCCCTCCGCTTGGTTGCCGTCCAGCTCGGCGTAGAACGCGCGGTCCTCCTCCAGCTTGGGGAGCAGCTCGTACTCGTCGTCCAGATCGCTCAGCTGGTCGGTGGCGTCTGTGGCGCACGAGGCCTCGCCATCGTCTTCCTCCGTCGAGCTGTTGTTGTTGTTGTTGTTGTCGCCGTCCTCCGGCGCGTCGCTCTGCTCTGCGTCTGCAGCCTTCAGCGCCTCCGCCGCCTCCAGCTTGGCGCTGTGCTGCAGCTCGCGGATCGTCCTCGTGGGCCGCGGCGCCGTCTCGAAGACCGCGTTGAACTCGTCGAACACGTCGTCGAAGTCCCGCGGCAGCGCGCGCGGCGGACTCGCGCTGGCGACGAACTTCTTGGCGATGAACACGAGCGACGCGATGAGCGCCGCCCTCGCGCGGGCGGTGGCGGCCGCGGCCCAGCAGCTCATGACGGCCGTCGTCAGCGCCATCCTCGAGGACAGCGCGCGCAGCAGAGCGGCCTGCTGCGCCGCGCACCGCCGCTGCAGCGGGGACCCGCGGCGCTGGCGGCCCCGCAGCGCGCCCACCTGCGCGCGGACGATCGCGTACACGGCCTCGGAGCGGCTGTGCGCGCGGCAGACGGACGCCACGAGGAGGTTGCCCATGCTCGTCGCCGCCTTGGTCCAAGTGTATCAATGACGGCTAACTCAACCCAGGAATAGCAAGTTGAAGCGGGGCGCGCCCTTTCCGCGAATCACGGGGCGCGATTGGCCCAGCAAGCATTAGATGGCAATAAGCAACCACTTTGCCGGCTCGTCGAGCATGACCACGCCACTCCACCTTGTCTGTAAGCGCCATCTCGTCTTTGGCCGCGATGGTGCTGAAGTCCCCCATTGAGCGTCAACGTCGATCCATCGCTCCCAGCGTTCCAGCTCTTCGTCTTGTCTTCAAGCAGCCCCCCCCTCCCCGCTCCTCCGACTGCAATGATCCTCCTGCCAGCTGAAGCCCCACGTCGCGCTCAGCAGTGTCCTGAGGCAGGAGAGCCCGCCCGTCATGACGGCGTCGAAGCACGCGAAGCAGATCACGAGTTGCGAGCGCCTCCTTGGCTGCCAACTTGGCAGCGTCTAAATAGCCTAGACGAACGAGGTCGCCTTCGTCGCCCCGGAAAGCAGCAACGTCGTGCCTCTGCAGAAGCCCAGCCTGCTGCCATCCACCCAGTCGCTCGGCGGAATGCCTTCCACCACCCAGCACCAAGGCCGCTCTATGCAAAAGTGTTGACTAATCTGACCAACAAGCTGAAGTTACCGTGACATCAGGTCGCGGCTGCCGCCACATCACTCGCGCTTCGGCCGCCAGCCACACGCTCCCCCCGCCCCACTTCTCTCCCGGACATGACGGCGCAGGAGCTCAAGACCGCAGACGCGCGCGACGACGACGCTGGCGTCGCCTCGGCCGCTCCCGCTAAGGCCGACGCCGACGCCCCGTTCGTGTACGAGACGCCGGGATTCTTCGCCGAGGACTCGCGCGTGCCGCAGTGGGCGCAGAGCCTCGTGACTGACCTCTTCAGCTTCGTGACCATCCACTACAACGTCTGGGGCGTGCCCTTCCTGGTGCTTTTCTACTATCTCTACCGCATCGGCTACGGCTACGTGCCCGTGGCGCTCGTGGCGCTCTACCTGCCGTCCTTCCTGAGCGGCGCCCAGAAGACGGCCAAGGGCAACCCGTGGCCGGCCTTCCGCTCCGGCCGCATCTGGGGGCTCAGCGCCAAGTTCCTCGGGTACGGGCGCGAGAGTTATTGCTTCCTGCTGGGGTGCTGACTGTGTGTGTATGTGTGTGCGTGCTGCATGATGCCAGGATCAAGGTCATCCGCGAGCAGGAGCTGGATAGCAGCAAGAAGTACATCTTCGGCTTCCACCCGCACGGCATCATCGTGCTCTCGCGCGTCTCGACCTACGGCGGCAACTGGGAGAAGGTCTTCCCGGGCATCCCCACGCGAGGTGAGTGCAGCGAGAAAGGTGGGAGGGAGGGAGGGAGTGACTGACTGTTGTTGGCCTTGTTTGACTGCGCAGCGCTGGGCGCCTCGACCATGTTCTACGTGCCTCTCGGGCGCGAGCTGTGCCTGTGGCTCGGAGGCGTGGACGCCTCGCGGTCCACGGCCGACAAGGTGCTGAACGACGGCACCAGCATCGTCGTGTACCCGGGCGGCGTGCCCGAGATCTTCAAGACGGACCCCAACTCCAAGGTGAACGAGCTCGTGCTCAAGAAGCGCCTGGGCTTCGTCAAGCTGGCCATGCGCCACGGCGCCGAGCTCGTGCCGAGCTTCGTGTTCGGCGAAAAGTGGCTCTACAAGTGAGTCCCTATGCACTCGAGGAGAGAGGAGGGAGGAAGGGCCTAGAACTGACTGGTTTTGGCTATTTGTTTGTTGCAGCATGTGGAACCCGCCCCAGGGCGTGATCGACTTCTTCCGCAAGACGCTCAAGATCCCCATGATCATCTTCTGGGGCAAGTTCATGTGGATGCCCAAGCAGCCGCCCAAGGGCAAGCGCTTCGGAGTCGTCTACGGCAAGCCCATCCCCACCAAGCTCACGGCCAACCCCACGGAGGACGAGATCCGCGCCGTGCACGCGCAGTACGTGGCCGAGATCGAGCGCCTGTTCTCGCAGTACAAGAAGGACTTTGGCTACGACGACGATGAGACGCTGCTCATCAACTAACTACCGGTAGGCATCTACAGTAGGCGCTTTGACAGTATAGTTGCGTTCTCTTCTACAAGCAAACAGTGACCGAGCTATCCTAGAGCGAGTCGACGATGCTGTCGGCGTCGAACATCCGCAGCAGGTTGGCGTAGTTGGAGTCGTACTTGGGGCCCTCCCAGTAGATCTTGCGGCACACGCGGCAGACCCAAAACTCGGTCACAACTTCCAGCACGTTCGGGTGAATTTGGTCCTCGGTCTGCTTGCGCACGTAGTCGAGGTCGACGACGTCGAACCCCTTGGCGTTGCAGCGCGAGCAGCGCGACATCATCTCGTCCTTGACGAGCTTGAGCGCGAAGTGCGCCTTGATCTCCTGGAACTGCTGGAACGGGTCGTCGCTCGACACCACGAAGCACGCGCCGGCGTCTCGTCGGTTGGCCAACTTCTTGTCGCGAGTCAGCAGAATGCGCTGCTCGCACACGGACAGCGCCAGCAGCGCCGCCTTGTGGTCCTGGCTTGCAGTCTTCTTGGGGACGGAGTACGGGTCCCAGATGACGACGTCCATGCCGATAGTTCGCAGCCACTTGCCGACGCGCGCCACCATCGAGTCGGCCAGGAACTTGTACTCGCGGATCGGCTCCTGCCTTTTGCGTCCAGCTGTGGATGTCGTAGTAGTATTCAACGGAGCAGTTGGTTCCTCCTCCACGGACGTCGCTGCTTCGATGGCAGAAACGCCTCGTTGGATGTCCCCTGTGGCCTCGATATCGACCAGAGCGAAGTACGCCTTCGAGTTGAGCCACAGCAACGCTTCATGGGACCCCCCACCGCACACGAGCGACTCGACACACCGCAACGTGCTGCTGGCGAAAACCCGAATACGATGGCCGTCTTTCGCCGATTCCTCGGAAGCAGCACGTGCTGGGCGGTGGCCAAACGGAGGGATTGTGCCAGGCTCAAAACCGAAGTATTCGCAACACTCCGCCGGCGTCGCGAGCTTGATTCGTCGTCGGCTGACGCCACAGAGCGTTGCTAGCTGCGCAGTGTCCAACTTGCAATTCGCTTCGATGCAAGCGACGCATGGCTCCTCTGTCAACGCATCAAGGAACACGATATAGCAACCATTAGCACCGAGTACCTATCCCAGTCAAGTCAATCAATCCACCGGCCTCACCGTCGGCGAAGAAGCATATAGCGTTGACGGCTACGAACGCGGCTGGATGATCAGAGTCCTGCGACTGCTCCAGCAGACCCTTAACAGTGTGGGGGTCGAGAAATGTCAGCGCGGTATCCAGAATCTCGTGATTCGCCCCACCTCCAGTCTGTACCAGCTTGAACCCTCTCTCTTGATGTAGTCTCTTGCGCTCCTCCCAGTATCCTACGACGTCTTGCGGCGTTAGCAGGCTGGCGATGACGTTGCCGAAGCCTTCCCGCAGTTTGCTGTCGACCCAGTCTTGACGGTATTTATTCCGCAGCTCAATTGCCTCCAATGCTTCCTCGTTCCTCAGTGGGGACGGATAAACCAGCTCATGGATTTCAGCAGCTGTATGCTGCCAAGTTGGTAGCTCAGCATCCTCGTCCCTACGACTGCAAAGTTTCCCTTGTCAGTTTAAATTATTCACCCAGACAGACATCGAAGTATGTGATGCTTACAGTTTGTTGGTCATCTGAACCAGACAGCAAGCGTCTAAGGCGGCGTAAGTAAGCTGAGCTGGAGTTAGCGGACGCACATCCCAGTTCGACATTTGCATTCGCTGAGTAATTTTGAATACACAACCAGTAGTCAGTCTCTCAGCAAATTTTTGATACCGATTTCATTTAAACCAGACTCACCTTATCGAGAGGTCTACCCAAGATGTGGCTCGTTGCATTCGACAAGCTGTTGCCTACTGAGATTCCCAGCAACTTGGAGACGACCTCGTTCAGCTGTACCGAGTACAAAGTTGCTGCTAATGAGAGTGCTTCGAACAAACTCATCCCAATCTGACAGACATACCTCCAAAAACGGATCAATACGAATCAAACTGGAGCGCTCTGGGAAGGTCTGATGCAACACTACAATAGCGTTTTCGAGCACTATGGTCAGTATGGTAACATCTTCAAATTATGACACGGCTACTAGCTCTGTACCTTTCAAATCCGTGTCGAAGCCAAACCCAACTTTGAGAAGAAACGGGCAGGTGAATAAACGTCCAAGGAAACTATCAAACAAGAAGTCATTATCCTGGCACACGAACACCGGGTTAGTACGGTGATAGCCGTGCAGACAAACGTAGCCAGAGCCACGCACCTGCAGCGCCAGCAGATCGATAATAAACACGCGTGATGATGACGATATCTGCAGAATGCTTGCCACTGCGGTGGTCGTTGTCGAGCCAGTGGAGGCCGCGATCTTAGTCGACGTTGGCTTCCACTCCACATCCAGACCAATGATGCGATCCGCGTCGAACGTTGTGTTATTGGAGGCGTTGTCGACCGCACTGGTGTCTTCCCCGTGACCAAAAAAATACTCCATCATACCACGGAGTGATTCCTCCGTATCGCAAAAATCAATGGTGTCCTCCTCCAGCTCAAGGGCTAAACAGCCACTCAGGGCAGCTGCATTGGCAGAGTGCGAGAGACCATTCGCTCGCAGCGAACCTCGTTGCGCAACCATCTCCTCGACTTGGGACTCGAAATCGGCAATGTCGAGTATTTGCGCAAGTCGGGCAGCCCATTGAATCTCTCCAGCAGCCATCACGTGCTCGAACAACAGCTTCTGGAGAGATGCATCGTTTCCGGCGAAAGACAGCGCCATCTGCCAGCGCTGCCGTTCTATCAGCTTCATCAATCCGTCGTGACAGTACAAGAGATCTACAGAAAGCAAGAAGTAACAAACGGCATGTGAGCTAGCACACACTACTTTAGGATGCACCCGTGCGGTACACACCAATATCGGGGAAGTCTTCTTGTAGTCCAAACTTGTAGACAATACGGTGCGCCTACAACACAACGGTCGAGAGCAGGTGCTGTAAGAAAGTGATGTTGGGGTTTGGCTGACACCCGCATAGTCATCATCCTACTCAGCTGTACCCGCTTGACGTCCTGCGTCGCGATAGCTTCATGCACCAGTACTTTCGCTAGATCTGCACGTCGTTGCCAGAATGAGTACCGTAAGTTCGTCAGCACCTCACCAAACAATATCAATTAAACACAGTACGCTGAGCCCAAACCATTGCTGCGCCCAGGTCCTCCAAAAGTCTTGGCGAGTAGCTCTGCTGGAGACCAGTCCTTCGACTTGGCCATCGTCTTGATCGTTGACTCGAAAGACCACCCCACTGAGCTGAAAATGGTCAAGAGTTTGATCAACGCCGTGTATTTCTTCGAAGCGAGAAGGCTCTGGGCTGCCGCGCGAACTGCTTGTGCGTCAATGTCCGTAATAGCGAAGAGCTCCACCATCTCCACCACCAGCTTCTGGTCCTGCAACGCAAAGTATAAAGTATAAACAGTGAGAACAACATCGCAGCTGCTTCTACTGCAGCGCGCACAGGACGCGTACCACACACGCAGCGTCTCGCAGACCTCGCACGCAAAAGTCTCGCAGAGCTTCGTTCTGCTCTCCTTGGGCTCGGCAGCCTGTCAGCTGGCGGCCACTACTGTCTCCTGTGGTGAGTACCCGCAGGGCGTTGACTACCATGAAGGCCAGCGGCGCATTGGGCTGCGATCGCTTCTTCTTCTCCTTCTCATTCCTCACGTTTGGCTTGCTATTGGCGGCACCTGCGAGCGGCGGCTGCGTCTGTTCTGCCTCTGCCTCAGCTGCTGCTGCTGGCGCTTGCGTCTCTGCCCGTGGCTGGGCCAGACGCAGCACGACGAGCACCGCAAAGCCCCAGAAATCGCTCTCGCTGCCCGCGCTGAGCCCCGCGAACGTCTGCGCCAGCGTCGACTCGAGCTCCACGAACCTGTTGGAGACGCGCGGAGACGGAGCGCTCGCCCCGTAGAAGGCGTCGTGGATGCGACCCGCCCACCGAGACGCGACAGCCGCGTCCGCCGGCGCTCCGGAGCGCTGCGCAAAGAGCTCCGTCAGCTGCACTTGCAGTGCCATCATCTTGGCGCATTCAGCTTTGGCCTCAAGATGTACCAGCATTTGGGTACCATGATATCGAAATGATTACACACTTTGTTTTTATACTTTAGAGCGCTACAGCGGTTTAAGAGATACACCTTTATCTCTCCAAACATCTAAGAGAGAGATCTGTACGTGTGTCCGTAAGTCCGTGTGAAGCCCGTGACAACATAATAAGGTGGTCCACATAATCGTACCTAGGCTGCCGAGCGCAGCGAAGGCGGCACTTCCGATTTTGCTTACTAGCCGCGACGTGACGAGAGTGACGGCGTGTTCGGGGGGAACCTTCTTGTAATCGAGTGTACCCATTACATGAAGAGTGATGGGTGTCACTCTCCCGAGTACATGGTACATGGTACCAGTAGCTCCGCAAGCCAACCATTTGAGTTTGTGTGGGCTTTTGTATAGTTAACTTGTAGTTTGTATTACGACCAAGTTAACCTCTACCAAAATACAGTCTGTCTTATAACCTACTCCTTTGTAGCAAACCGTTCCCTTTGAGGCCGGGAACTGGTGAACTGCTGTTCACCTGGATAGTAATATCCGCACGCACTTCCTCTGTGCATTGTGCTGTGTGACCCCGTCACACTTGGTAGCACTTGTAGTCAATCCTACGCCTACGCGGGTAGATTGGTCTACCTGAATCCTCGGTGGCTCAGGTCTGTGAGCCACGATGGACCGAAGTGAGTTTCCTCACTTGACTGACTCGCAGTTCGAGTCGGTGCGGAAGATGGCGGGCATCTTCGGAAGAGATGCCCTCCGGAGCTTGGCGGCGGCGACGCCAGCCGAGCAGGTCGAGCGGGTGAGCGCGTTTGACGAGTACGAACGCGGGCTCATCGCTCATGTGCAGGGAAACCTGCTGGCTCAGATGAGTGAGCCCAATCGGGTGCAGCCTAAGCCTCTGCGGCTAGCTGTGCCTCCGTTCGAAGGGAAGGAAGGTGAGAACCTTCACTTCTGGATCCGGGAGACCGAGATCGCAATGAGCGCAGGTCTCATCTCGGCCGAGAACCTTCGAGTCGCCTTCGCGCTCTCCAATCTTGGCGGACGTGCCAGGACTTGGGCGTATACGCGCGAAGTGATGTCGCCTGGATGTTTCACATCCTGGGCTCAGCTGTGTGAGCAGCTTCGAGCCGCTTTTCTCCCGGCGAACAACGAGTTCCGCCAGCGCTCGCGCTTCCTTGCCTGCAAACAAGGGGGGCACGAGCTGTACGCGTACGTACAGGAGATGCGCACGTTGGCAACCTCGCTGGTGGGGAACCCACTGTCGGAAGACGTCAAGATGACAGTCTTCGTGGACGGCCTGAAGGTCGGTCCTGCGCGCACGCAGTTGTTCCGCGTGCGCACCGCCACTATGGAGGAGGCGATCCAAGTCGCCCTCCAGGAAGAGTACAGCCACAAGCAGGCTGGTGCTCTGGCTGTTGTACAGCCTGTGGTCACTGACAGCGAACCAGAACCCATGGATCTGAGTTCGGCTGAGCAGTACTCAGCCCGCTGCTACGGCTGCGGCGGACTAGGACACTATCAACGTGTCTGCCCATCGCCTGGGTCTGGGAAGAAGACCTACCCGAAGACCAGAGGGTCAAGGGGACGCCGACGCCATGCACCGTCAGGTGCTCAAGGGGGACACAACCACCAGTAAGGACGAGGGCTTTGCTGGGGTTGGCCCGAGTCTTTGTGATGGGTGTACGGAAGGCGTACACCACAGAGACCCGGGGTCCCTTGCGAGCACTGACGCTCGCATTGGTGAAGGACAACGGTGGGTTGTCGGTAGTACACGTGAGTGTGCGGGGGTAATGGTATCCCTAGACATGATTGAGTCTGGGACGTCGCGTGGATGTTCGCACGTCGCCAGATGTGTCGGTTGGAATAACGACACAAGTGCCGAGACTCTGCGAGAGAGTCTAAGCACAAGGTCAGGTCTCATTGACTGAGGCTGGGCCGAAGAAGAACCTTGGGGTCCGCTGTGACCCTGGCTGCCGCGCTCGAGGGCGCTGACAGCAATGGAACCGCACATGGTCCCGGACATGGAACCGTACATCGTCCCGGACATCGTGCCGAAGCCGGCCCTGGGCTTGGAACCGTATATGCCCTCGTCTTGAGCAAGTATGACTTGACCCTGCGTGCGCCGTGCAAGCTGCACAGGCTCTCGGTCGAGTAGCGCGACAACGCCTTGAGGCTAAGTCGGCCCTCTGTGTCTGACAGAGCATTGGTGAGTCATGTTCCCACCTCTGGACAGACCCAAGGGCGTCCGATGGGACCGCCAGGGCGCTGGATGCGTCCGACAAGACGAAGAAGAAGAAGGGAGGCATCATTGACATGCTGATCTCCATGAAGAAGGTGCAGTGTATCTGCAACCGAGGGCTGTTATGCCTGGTCTGGGGAGCTGCCTCAACAAGCAACTCCAGTGCTGAGAGTCATTGCTCGGCATGAGCATTGACAAGGGTGGTGTTCGATGACACCACCAGGTGGGTAACCAAGGACCACTGACTAGCGGGTAACTTAGTTCCGCACAGAGCATGTAATGCTGAGGAGGCCGCTCAAGGCACCTCCGGCGTGGGTAACCAAGTACCACGGACGGTCGCCCAGACCTTAACTGAAGAGGAACGCGCTACACGCGCTTCCTGTGTGAGTAACCCAGTTCCACACCAGGCCACTCAGACCTAAACTGATGAGGAAGGTGCACGATGCACTTCCTGTGTGGGTAACATAGTTCCACACGCGTCACTCAGACGGTAACGGATTGTGAAGTCGCATGATGCGATTTCTGTGTGGGTAACGTAGTTCCACACGATGCCGTAAGGCTCCGCATGAGCCGGAAGGAGTCGCTCGAAGCGACTTCAGCGTGGGTAACTTAGTTCCACGCACGGTCAGTATGACCAAGACTAGTGATCAGGTCACTTGAGTCTCCTCGCGTGTGGTGGATGACCACACGGAGTTTAAGAGGCTCGTGACACCGTCACGATGTCATAGCCGCACGGTCCTCTTGAAGGTGCCGCGCGGCTTTGATTTTAAGCGGGGGAGGAGTACTTCCTTCCTCCAAGGGCTTGGCACCCGGTCATCATGGATGACGTTCGACTGGGTGTCGACCAGCGCAGCTGTGGCCATGCGCACAGAAGACGTGGCTTGGGTACACGACGTACCTGCGGCGATGCATGTTGCGTCGCCGCCGACTCGGCGAGCATGGTCGATCACGACTGGAACGTGTCTGCCGGAGGGCTACACCTCAATGACCACATGCAGGAGCATGCTCGGTCTGAAGGCAAAGGCCGCTGCGCGGCAGGGATCGTTGGTACGGTCTGTCGCGCCTAGCACTGTGCGGCGTTGGGACAACAAGTGTCCATGACTCGGTGCCGAGATGGCTGAGTCTGAGTATGCGTGCATGCCATGTAGCTACTCTGAATGCAGGACAAGCCGTACGCTGTCATGGGTGTCATTGCCCGAAGACATGGGTAACAGAGTAACACGTCAAGTCACGCAGACTCAAACTGCATCCAGGCTGGTAGATGCCAAGCCCTGGTCGACGTTGTTGACCCAGAGCCAAAGAAGGGTAGCTGCCCGTGCCACCGGAGTCTGCTGGCACGGTGACTCGGTGCTGCAGGGCGGCGCGAGGATAGGCGGCCGGCTGGCGCCTGACCCGCCGGGGCTCAAATCGTAAGTGGGGGAGGGGATCGGAAGTGCCCTTCCTCCCGAGGTCTCTGGCATGAGACTTGCTTCGTCGTAGAAGCCAGTGTAGTGGCTGCATGGTGTAGCCACTCACGAAGTATTGCACGAAGGTGCTGGACCTGATGCATCGCTGCTCAGGTCCCATGGTCATGGTGACCGATGGCCAGCAACCTTGGCAGCGGCTACTGTCGCTGCTGGGCCGAAGATGGCGCGCGCATTCGCTGCTGGAAGGCTGCCTCTGTCAGGCAAAGACATGGCAGGCAGTCTGCGGCTTGGTCCGCGGACGATGGCATGTGTACATACGCAACACCATGCCGCAGCGTGATGCTGTTGCAACACTGGACGCGGTACGTCTACCGGCCAGGTAGCCATCAGCACCACGCCAAAGCTCCAGGCTGTTGCTACGCTGGGCGCGGCACGTCTGCCGGCCAGGTAGCTATCAGTCCCGAGCATGGGTGTTGCCCACGAGGGGAGAACCCGAACGTGTTGCCTTTGCAGACATTCACAGTTGGCGCGGCACATACCGCACCTGTAAGGCGCGAAGCCATACGCGTGCACGTGGCACTTACTACATGTGAGATAGTCGCGGTGCGTGACGCTCACTGTGCGCGTGGCACTTGGTGTACGCGAGGTACCCCTAGTGCACGCGACACTACTTGTGCACGTGGCACTTGAGGTGCGCGAGGCACTTATGGCAGTCGTGGTACGTGCCATACACGACGTGCCTTTGGTGTATGAGGTGGTGCCCTCGTACACCTTGAGGTCCTGTATGGACTGTGTGCCATGCGGTCTTGCACGCACACCGACCTGGTGTTGGTCGCCGCGACGCAGGATGCGATCGCCGGTGACGGAGGGCAATACACCCCACACCACGATGAAGTACCCTTGCGGTACCCTGGTGTCAAAGGAAGACACCTTAGCGTCGGCGACGTGATGGCCGTGACGCGCTGCAGGGCTTTAGACAAGTCCGCCGGGTTGCTCTGTATGATGAGCGGCTTGCTGGAAGCAGCCATGGTCGCTCAAGCAAACACGACGTTGAAGCCTGACGCTTCATGGCTGTGGTCAGCGCTTGACCATAGCCCATGGGTCGAGCCGACGTATTCGGCCGACCGGCACACCGTGCTGTGACGAGCGGGGCCCTGTCGGGCCGCTGTCATGACCGGAGATGAGCAGCACAGCTCTCTCCATGGTTACGCTACGCGCTGACAGGAAAGGTGCTGTCCCTCGCGGGAGGCACTGCAGCACGAACGTGCCAGCGGGGCCCGAGGGCCATGCGACGCCAACTGCTGGTTGTCTACGAGGGACACCGCGAGTTTGGAGGCACATGCATCCCGTGCCGAGGCACTCTGCGCCTGCTAGCGCTGTGAATACGGCCACTAAACGCGTCGGCTTCGCGACCAACATCGCCGAGGGCAGGGGGGTTCCGCGCGGGGTGCCCGCTGCAGGCACAAGTCACTGTGGGCGTGACGATGAGGCGCGCCAGCCTTGCGGCGGCAGCGCCCGAGAATCCGACCTTTGGGTGTTCGGATTCTCTCGAAGCTGATTGGAGAATCAGATGTGATTCTCAGATAAGTGGGGGAGGATGTAACGGGGTACAATCAAGTGTACCCATTACATGAAGAGTGACGGGTGTCACTCTCCCGAGTACATGGTACATGGTACCAGTAGCTCCGCAAGCCAACCATTTGAGTTTGTGTGGGCTTTTGTATAGTTAACTTGTAGTTTGTATTACGACCAAGTTAACCTCTACCAAAATACAGTCTGTCTTATAACCTACTCCTTTGTAGCAAACCGTTCCCTTTGAGGCCGGGAACTGGTGAACTGCTGTTCACCTGGATAGTAATATCCGCACGCACTTCCTCTGTGCATTGTGCTGTGTGACCCCGTCACACTTGGTAGCACTTGTAGTCAATCCTACGCCTACGCGGGTAGATTGGTCTACCTGAATCCTCGGTGGCTCAGGTCTGTGAGCCACGATGGACCGAAGTGAGTTTCCTCACTTGACTGACTCGCAGTTCGAGTCGGTGCGGAAGATGGCGGGCATCTTCGGAAGAGATGCCCTCCGGAGCTTGGCGGCGGCGACGCCAGCCGAGCAGGTCGAGCGGGTGAGCGCGTTTGACGAGTACGAACGCGGGCTCATCGCTCATGTGCAGGGAAACCTGCTGGCTCAGATGAGTGAGCCCAAACGGGTGCAGCCTAAGCCTCTGCGGCTAGCTGTGCCTCCGTTCGAAGGGAAGGAAGGTGAGAACCTTCACTTCTGGATCCGGGAGACCGAGATCGCAATGAGCGCAGGTCTCATCTCGGCCGAGAACCTTCGAGTCGCCTTCGCGCTCTCCAATCTTGGCGGACGTGCCAGGACTTGGGCGTATACGCGCGAAGCGATGTCGCCTGGATGTTTCACATCCTGGGCTCAGCTGTGTGAGCAGCTTCGAGCCGCTTTTCTCCCGGCGAACAACGAGTTCCGCCAGCGCTCGCGCTTCCTTGCCTGCAAACAAGGGGAGCACGAGCTGTACGCGTACGTACACGTTGGCAACCTCGCTGGTGGGGAACCCACTGTCGGAAGACGTCAAGATGACAGTCTTCGTGGACGGCCTGAAGGTCGGTCCTGTGCGCACGCAGTTGTTCCGTGTGCGCACCGCCACTATGGAGGAGGCGATCCAAGTCGCCCTCCAGGAAGAGTACAGCCACAAGCAGGCTGGTGCTCTGGCTGTTGTACAGCCTGTGGTCACTGACAGCGAACCAGAACCCATGGATCTGAGTTCGGCTGAGCAGTACTCAGCCCGCTGCTACGGCTGCGGCGGACTAGGACACTATCAACGTGTCTGCCCATCGCCTGGGTCTGGGAAGAAGACCTACCCGAAGACCAGAGGGTCAAGGGGACGCCGACGCCATGCACCGTCAGGTGCTCAAGGGGGACACAACCACCAGTAAGGACGAGGGCTTTGCTGGGGTTGGCCCGAGTCTTTGTGATGGGTGTACGGAAGGCGTACACCACAGAGACCCGGGGTCCCTTGCGAGCACTGACGCTCGCATTGGTGAAGGACAACGGTGGGTTGTCGGTAGTACACGTGAGTGTGCGGGGGTAATGGTATCCCTAGACATGATTGAGTCTGGGACGTCGCGTGGATGTTCGCACGTCGCCAGATGTGTCGGTTGGAATAACGACACAAGTGCCGAGACTCTGCGAGAGAGTCTAAGCACAAGGTCAGGTCTCATTGACTGAGGCTGGGCCGAAGAAGAACCTTGGGGTCCGCTGTGACCCTGGCTGCCGCGCTCGAGGGCGCTGACAGCAATGGAACCGCACATGGTCCCGGACATGGAACCGTACATCGTCCCGGACATCGTGCCGAAGCCGGCCCTGGGCATGGAACCGTATATGCCCTCGTCTTGAGCAAGTATGACTTGGCCCTGCGTGCGCCGTGCAAGCTGCACAGGCTCTCGGTCGAGTAGCGCGACAACGCCTTGAGGCTAAGTCGGCCCTCTGTGTCTGACAGAGCATTGGTGAGTCATGTTCCCACCTCTGGACAGACCCAAGGGCGTCCGATGGGACCGCCAGGGCGCTGGATGCGTCCGACAAGACGAAGAAGAAGAAGGGAGGCATCATTGACATGCTGATCTCCATGAAGAATGTGCAGTGTATCTGCAACCGAGGGCTGTTATGCCTGGTCTGGGGAGCTGCCTCAACAAGCAACTCCAGTGCTGAGAGTCATTGCTCGGCATGAGCATTGACAAGGGTGGTGTTCGATGACACCACCAGGTGGGTAACCAAGGACCACTGACTAGCGGGTAACTTAGTTCCGCACAGAGCATGTAATGCTGAGGAGGCCGCTCAAGGCACCTCCGGCGTGGGTAACCAAGTACCACGGACGGTCGCCCAGACCTTAACTGAAGAGGAACGCGCTACACGCGCTTCCTGTGTGAGTAACCCAGTTCCACACCAGGCCACTCAGACCTAAACTGATGAGGAAGGTGCACGATGCACTTCCTGTGTGGGTAACATAGTTCCACACGCGTCACTCAGACGGTAACGGATTGTGAAGTCGCATGATGCGATTTCTGTGTGGGTAACGTAGTTCCACACGATGCCGTAAGGCTCCGCATGAGCCGGAAGGAGTCGCTCGAAGCGACTTCAGCCTGGGTAACTTAGTTCCACGCACGGTCAGTATGACCAAGACTAGTGATC